GCTGCTATAGCTTGGTGGCTTTGGAAATTTACAGCTTGTCTAACTTGGGGGATAAGCTCTGAGTCTTGTGATGAAGATGCTGTTTTTAAAATCTAGTCACTCTAAATAGTTCCTATCACTGAAAGCCAGACACTGAAATCTGTAACAGCTGCAAGACAGAAGGAAAAGTCAACCATCTTGCCCCATTCCAGGTTTATTCTAGAGAACTAAATTTGCAGGAAGATAAACTTTACAGAGTAAAGACCCTTACTATGAACAACCTTGGACTTTTCAATAGCACAAGACAGAAGCTGGAAGTTAGGAGAATACCAGGTAAAGAGCTCTGAGCAGAATGCCTATCTTGACAACAAATCACTAAACACAAACAAACAAAAAACTCAAAGCTCTTCTTGCCTATTTTTCAAGAGATGCTGGAGTGGCATAAACTAAGAGACACTTTTAAAAAGCTTTTAATTCTAGGAAGAGACACTTATGGAACTAATGCATTCTTGCTTAGTCTCGTGGAACACTGATGTCGAGAGGTCAGCATTAAGGAGCTGCTGTAAAAGTCGCCTTGAACTGTTGTGCACTGCTGGAGGGTATGTGAAAAGGTGCAGTCTCTACGGAAAACAGCATGGCAGTTTCTCAAAATATTACATGTGGAATTACCACAGGATCCAGCAATATCATTTCTGGATTTATACCCCAAAGAATCTTGGGTCTTGAAGAGATATCGGCACACCCATAATCAATGAATCATGACTCACAAGTGCCAAAAGAAGGAAGCAACACAAATATCCACTAACAAGTGAACAAATGAACAGATAAAACATAGTATGTACATATAATGGTATGTAACTCAGCCTTAAAACGAAAGGAAATTCTGACATATGCTACAATGCAGATGAACCTTGAGCATGTTATGTTAAATGAAATAAGCCAGCCACAAAAAGACAAATACTGTATGATTCTGCTTATTTGAGGTACCCAGAACTGTCAAATTTCATAGGGTTGTAAAGTTGAATGATGGTTGCTGGGGGCTGGAGAGAGGGAGAAATAGAGAGTTATTGTTTCGTAAGTACAGAGTTTCAGTTTTGCAAGATGAAAAAACATTCTGGGGATGGATGGTGGTGATGGTAGCAAAATAATGTGAATGTACTTAATGCCACTGAACCGTCCACTTTAAAATGGTAAGTTTGGTGTTATATATATCTGACACAATTTAAAAAAATAAATGATTAAATCTTTCCATCAATTCCTCAATCTTTTTTACTACATTTTAAAACATGGGTATTGCCTCTGGATTATTATCTATTCCCTAATGCAACTAGAAGGCAAAAAGAGTGAACACAAAGCATATGAGCATCAGTGAAATACTTTCAAGATTCACTCGAGTTAGGCTTCATTCAGCAGCCTTGTAAGCACACAAATGTTTATGGCTGTGATTTCTATTACACCAGATTTTCTAAAAAAAAAAAAAAAATTTATGATGCTTTGGAAAGTAAAAATGCCACATAAGAAACAAGTAAATCTAATTACACAGTGCCCCTTCACCCACAGTTTAACAATCATTGTATCAGGAAAGTCACCTTAATGGCTCTCAGTCATGTGAAGGTCAAAGGTTTAATTTAAAGCAAGTTCAAATTCTGCAGGAGAAAAATATCACGAAGACTTTATGATAACTAGGACTGCCTGGAAATAAGGATTTAGGAACAAAGCTGTTACAGCATTTCCTATCTTTATACTAATTTAAAGTTCACAATACAACTTCAAGTACATGACTTCATCTGCACCTCACAAGCCAGTCCACAAGATAGGTTTTAATATTGCAAATTTTGAGGAAGAGAACACAGTTTAAGTGATTTGAACAAAATTACCAAGCTTCTAAGTGGCTGGAACCTAGGCCTATAAATTCAAGTCCATTTTTATGTTTCCCCAGCCCTTATATTTAGGTCTCTAGTGAAAGGCTTCATTAATCTGGGAACTGTTCCAAAGACAAAGAAACATCCACTGCGTGGGGCCACGGGCCACGAAAGGCGTGGGTGGAACAGCACAGTCACAACAGCACTGTGACTTTGCTTCCTCCTCTGGGAAATGAGGTATCACTTGACATACCCACTAGTCAGTATAATTTCTAGGATCAAAGGAAATTATATGTTGAAACATTTGAAAAGCATAAAATAAAGTGCTAAGTCATTAAAAGGCATGTTTGTCAGGAGACTAAGATTTCATGATTCTTATCAATAGGAAGGCTGAGTATGGAAGGGAAGCAAGTATGCAAAGCAAAACAAACCAATGAAAAAACCTGACTAGTGCCCAGGAAAGGCTGGGGGTAGTGACAGACTGGTTGCTTGGCAGACTGGATAAGGGGAGGAGGTGGGGGAGACAAACTTGCAGTTTGCTGAGGTACCAGAGACCCTAAACTCTCAGCCCTTTCCTCACTCTAGGCAGTTCAAGTCACTAAGGAAGGATATATGGGGCCTTGGATAAAGAAACTATGTAACTGAATGGTGCTATAGGCTGTACATCAAAACAAATAAAATAATCAAAGATACAGTGGTAACATACCATGCTTAGCCCAAATTCTGGAGGGTACATGAGAGGCTGGAGAGGCTGGAGCTGAGCGATCTCTCAGCCTAGCTACTATGTTCATCCTGGGGTTTGGCAGCTGCCGACACATTGGGCTGTGCCTTCATTTAGACACCCCCCTCTAAGGATGGGTGGGAGGCTTGGCTGGGGCTTGGCAGAGGCGCAGGTGGAAGGCTATGAAGCCAGTAGCCTGGTGTTTGGCAGCTGGGTACAGAAATGGAGAGTAGTGGAGCCAACAAAAGCCTCTCAGCCTCAGGTTTTACTTCATTCATTCGCCCAATCTACAAATATTCATTGAGTGCCAACTTGCCCTGGCAGTGTTCTCAATACTGGCAATACAGTGATGAATAAAGACAGCAATGTCCCTCCCTCAGGACACTGACACTTTTGTGAATAAAGTCAACGAACAAACCAAAACACACAATGCACTGATAAATACAATGGAGGAAAAAAGCCAAAGGGGTGTGCCTGAGAGTGCCTGTGAGACCAAGACAGACCCTTCTGAGAAGAGAGTGTTTAAGCTGAGACCTCACAGTCAATGACAGAAGGAACAGGGTGGGAGGAACAGCTTTCCAGGCGGAGCACCAGGAAGTGCAAAGGCGCTGAGGTGGGAACAAGCTCGGTCTACCAAAGAAAAGGCTGCAGGGGTGAATGCTGTGGTTAGAGGGAGAACGATGAGGTTAGAGGAGCTTCTAGGGGCCATTTTAGTCAGGGCCTTGCAGGTTATGGTAATACATCTGGATTTTACGTTCAGTGATGTGGGCATTCACTGGAGTGCAAAGCAGTGATATGTCTGATTTATGTTTTCAACAGGTGAGTCTGGTCTGATAGATCAGAAAACAAATAAGACAGTCCTGGAATTCTCTATTAGAACGCTCCATTTTAACAGAATTTCCATTAAAACCCAAGAAGGAGTCATGGCTTAAGTTATTAAAATGCATACCAGTAACACTTTGGCAGGAGTCTGCCAGAATGAGAGAAGGCAAGGATAGCAGCCAGCTGGCTCTAGGGGCCCCCAGGCTCACCTTCACGACCCTTCACAACCACCTGGAGCTGGTATCCTGCACCACCTGGTGCACGTGCCTGGCCCCTCACTCACCCTTAACCCAGAGGGCTCCTGTGACAGCCGCAGAGGACAGCTACTTGCCTGTGGGCCTTCATTCACTGGTTTGTGCCGAGAAGCCACCCTTCCAGCCTCCACAGCCCCTGGGCTATCGAGGTAAGAGCAATGCAATAACCTGAAGGGGTGTCAAAGGAAGAATGCCTCCATAATCCCCTTTTCTCATCTGATCTCATAACTGCCTCCACCAGGACAAAACAGAGGTCTGTGGGACCCAGCTTGAGTTTGTAGCCCATACCTTCCCAGCCTTCTGCTTGAAACTGGCCTGTCTAGGTACTGAGAGATTTGATTACTTTCTTCTCTTCTAACAATCCTATATGGAATCATTCCTCAGTGGTTTTAGATATTTTTAACCTACATGCAGGTATAATGTTACACGATATGACCTGATCAAGGCAAGTTTTTTCTTCCTCTTGAGAAGGGTCAACAAATTCCCTAAAGAAATAAAAACTGTCTTGGTATCCAAAGTACAGTCAGTCTTAGTAGAAAGAGGCATGAACAGCAAGCACAATCACTTCCCATCTTGGGGTAACCGATCCAATACCTTTAACATTTTGGGGGAAAAAGAAAATCCAAGCAGATCCCATCAAGTTTAAGACCAGGAATCAGTGGGGGTGAAAATGGGAGAAAAGAAAAACTATCAGAAGCACAATGACTACCAGGTACTTCTAAAAAGCTGGCTCTTTATGCTTTTGCAAAGAGACTAATTAATAGAGATGAGAAAAGTGGCTTCTCGTCCTCATAGCACTCTCCTTCTTCCCTCAAAAGGATGGGGAGGACAGCAGGAAAAGAAATCTCTGACATTCAGAAACCCCAAATGGAAAGCATCAAATTACGTTTCAAGAGCTGTTTCAACACACTAACCGTTTCTTACCTTTTTGGACTGCTTACTTACAAACCAGGGTATGGTAGACCTAAAGGGATGTTCAAGTTCATACAGTCCAACCTGATGAAGAGTCAAGCCCAAGAGGTTTTCAGGTGGTGAAAGAGCCAGGAAGGGAGCCCAGGTCTCCTGACTCACATTTCCTAAGAACTTTCATTATGCACTTTTCTGTTTTACAAATAAAAGCATATTACAGGAAAATGGAAACTGGACAGGAAGTCACTCATTATCTAATCATCATACTGGGACCTCTATGTGCATTTTGTTCCTTCTATCACATGCTAACAGTTCTCCCCCCATATTGTTATAACCATATTGGACTAATACAGAATTCAGATCCTTTTCATGGAGTGTTTCAAACAACTCTCAAGAGGCTGTGGGGAAATAAGCATCAAGCTGGTCAACCTCAAATCTGTTCTATTTACCTACCTGGTGCATCAGGTACTTGAAGAGGAATGAAAGGATCAGATACGCTTAGAAGTGGGAGGCTAGAATCCACAGTCTGCCCACCCTTCTTTTTTTCAGCTAAAGTTGGTTGGAGGGCAAGGAAGGGTCAAGGAGAGAAAAAAAGAGAGAGGAAAAAAAAAGCAGAAAATATCAAGTAAATCTAGATGAATTTACCATCTATTAATCCAACAGCTCAAATTACAGAACAAGTCTAAACTAAGAGGTAGAATAAAGAGGGATGAGTGGATATAATCCAGCGTAATGGCAAAGTATTATGAGATGTATGATCTGGTCCTTACACAGACTTTAAGATATAATAAATAATAAAACTAGGATATTCATACATCTGAGATTCCATTTCTTCCTTCTGTGGAGGCCTGCAGTGATGATCTCTTTCAGAATTCCTATAGTAATTACTGTCCGCATTACACATTTTGGCATGTAAACAAACACTGCCTATTTTGTAATCTAGCACATATATAGGTACTTCCTATATACCCATTATTCTCTTGAATTTACTGTATCACCAAATGTCTAATATAGTGCCAGGCAGACACACAGAAAAAGACAAATAGGTTTCTTGCCTTCTGCATGGTTAGACAACCCTTAATCCCTGGACTACATCTAATATACTATTAGCACTCATTCTACATTTGGTAAACTTACAGATTTACACAAATCTATGTACCCTATGGGATATCACAGTATAAAGGGATCTTAAGATCTTCTAGTATAATTTTCTTATTTTTCAGAAAAGAACATAAAGCCCAAAAGTTAAGAGATTAGCCAAAGGCCCACAAGCAGACTCAGGATCAAAACCCAGGTTTCCTTGTTTTTAGTTTACTATTCTTTACATTGCATTTTAATATTCAGTTTGTTCATTGAGTAAAATCATTTTGCCTTCTATAAAGTAGATTTAAAAAATACTTTTTATTCAGCCCTGGCTGGTGTGGCTTAGTGGATTGAATGCCGGCCTGCAAGTCAAAGGGTTGCCAGTTCAATTTCCAGTGAGGACACATGCCTGGCCCGAAACCTGGGTTTCAGGCCAGGTCCCCAGTTGGGGTGCACGAGGCAACCACATACTGCTGTTTCTCTCCCTCTCTTTCTTCCTCCCTTCTCCTCTCTGAAAATAAATAAGTAAAATCTTTTATAACTTTTTAAAAAATACTTTTTATTTTCAAATAATTATGAAATCATAGGAAGTTGCTATACACTGAATCCTGTGAACCCTCAAATAGCTTCCCTCCACGGTGAGATCTCCTAACTGTAGTACAGTAGCACCAACCTGGCATATTGACGTTCACTAGACTTTCCCCAGTGTTTACATGCACTCAGCTGTCTGTGTGTATATGTAACTGCTTGCAATTGGATGCTAGGTAGAGACTAGCACAAGCACCACCACAGCAGTACAGAAGCGTTCTACCAAACCAAAGAGCACCCTCACTGTTCGACTCCAGGGCCACACCCACTCCTAGTTCCCCTCCCTATCCCTTGGAATCCACAAATCTGAGCTCAGTCACTGTAATTTTGCCACTTAGACAAAATTACAGAGTTTTTTTTCTGTAATTAAAAGAGTGTTATTAAAGTGTGTTTTTTTCACTGAGCTTCCTTAAAGGAAGATGAAGGAAAAGAAAGGTAAAAATCACTGCTGTCAAGGGATATTTCAAGTGATCGCTACTTTCTGAAATATTTTTAAATGAGACAGAATGAAATATATTTTGAAAAGAGCACAAATTATAAAAGTAAATATATGATATAATTCATTTTTGAAAAAAGTATATACGCAGAAATAAAATTATGGACATAAATATTGTAAAACGTCAGCAATGCTTTCCTCTTGAAGCAGGACCACAAGTTCTTTTCTCTCGCTTCTTTCACCTTTTAGTCCTTTTTCCCAAGTTTCACAAATGAATGTATATAACTTTGCAACAGGAAAATATTTTAAACAGAGTCACGATGTCAACTCTTAAACATCTATCTCTGATGTATGGACCCAGTTCATCAACATTTTTGCAGCTTTTGCCATAAAAATGTTTAAAACAACCCTGGTACCACCCTCCCCAACTCACTCCCACATTTCCTGATTATTCCTCCCTTTGTCAGTCGAAAGGTTTAAATCAGGTAACAGTTAAGCTTGATTAGAAAACTTGTAGAAAATGATAGTATGCAGTACTTCGTATGAATGAAGATACAATAATTTCTAGGATTTAAGTATAATTTTCTTTCATTTGGAAAGAAAGTGTCATGTAAAATAAATCACTCCACAAACAAGAAAGAAGGCAAAATACCAACTATTCAAAAAAAAGGCCGAATAAAGTGAGGAAAATACGAAGATATTTTATAATGTTTGGAAAAGCTTAGTGTCATTGATTTACAAGATTCTTGAGATGTGGTTACTACCTCAGCTTCTCAGCTGGGCGGCCCAGCTATGAACCTCTGTTCCGTCATTCTGCAGCTGTGGCTTTGGGCGGCTCGCCCAACCTTTTGTCGGCTGTTGTGAGGATCACCTGAGATAATGTGGGGAAAAAAAAAAAAAAAAAAAAAGCACTTCTCCAGTGGGTTTAGCATATAGTATGTTGTTACTATATGCTTGCTGTATTAATATAATAACTTTACTCAAATATGTGTTTTTATGGCTAGACCTTTAAGTCCCTTAAAAAAAAACAACTGCCATTTAAAGACTCCAAAGCAAGCACAAAGGGGAAGAAGAGGCTAAAGCAAAAGCAAAAAACAACTAAAACAACAAAGTTTATATAGATAAATAAACAACAAAACATAACCGTGTGTGCCAAGAGTTAGGCATGAAAACTGGGAGTAGATGGAAAATGCTTAGGGACCTCTGTCTTTAACAATGGTGATTTTAGCCCCTGAGTGGCTCAGTTGGTTAAGCATTGCTCTGCAAGGAGAAAAATCACTGATTCGACTCCGAGTTAGGGCCTGGTCATACAGGACAGGCAACCAATCAATGTTCTCTCTCTCACACATTGGTGTTTCCCTCTTCCTCCTTCTCCCTCCTACAGCTCTCTCTAAAAATAAACAAATAAAATATTTTTAAAAAATATTGGGGCATGCAGGAGAGGCAACCAATCAATGTTCTCTCTCTCACACATTGGTGTTTCTCTCTTCCTCCTTCTCTCTCCTACGGCTCTCTCTAAAAATAAACAAATAAAATATTTTTTAAAAATGGTGAATCCATGCTTCTATCCTTTGGCAAAAAGCAACCCCTTTCATTTACTCAACAAACCTGTCCTGAGCCAAACACTGTACACTAAATGTTGGGATTCAGCAACAAAGGAGACTCTTCCAGAGTTATTTCTATGACTCCCTTTCTGGGGAAGCTTTATCCTACCCAGTAGGTCATCATTCTGATGTTCTACCTCAAGGACAATAGTCAGTGCTTTCTTTATACATTTGGTACATTTAGTCAACTATTTGGCATTTCAAACTTTAAGCACTTTAAACCAGACCAAAATATCAATAAACTTAATTTTTTTATTAAAAAAAATAAAATTAAATAGTTAAATTTTTCTGCGTTATTTTCAATTTTTAGTTATATTGTCTGGCTTACATGATTTTTACATTTTATTTACTTATTTTTAGAGAGAGAGGAGGGAGAGAGAAAGAGAAGAAGAGAAACATCAATGTGTGGTTGCCTCTCCAGCGCCCCCCACTGGGGACCTGGCACACAACCCAGGCATGTGCCCTGACTGGGAATTGAACTGGCAACCCTTTGGTTCACAATCTGTGCCAAATTCACTGAGCTACACCAGCCATGGTAACTGTTTAATTTTTAAAAGCATACCTTCAATTAACTCTGATGCTTATTCCAAAATAGTAATAACAACAAAGAGAATATAATATGAAGATATATGGAATATAATTTTTACTTTTTTTAAAGACTTTACTTATTCATTTTTAGAGTGAGGGAAAAGAAATGAGAAAGAGAGGGAGAGAAGCATCAGTCTGTGGTTGCCTCTCACATGCCCCCTATTGGGGACCCAGCCTACAACCCCAGCATGTGCCCTGACTGGGAATTAAACCAGCCACCCCTTGGTTCAAAGGCCAGTGCTCAATCCACTGAGCCACACCAGCCAATGCTAATCTTCTTCTTTTTTTCCTTACAAGGGACACACCTGTTGAAAGCAATTCCAATAAGCAGTGTACTCCTCAAAGATTTGGGTGGGGTGGGCAAATAAAGAGAGATGGAGAAAAGAGAATATTGGAATATATGTGAAACATTTATTCCTAGATGTTTAATCAACCTCCCTCTCCACTCTCATGCTGGTTGAAAAATCACTCTTACATTGGGAAAAAAACTCTAAATACTTTCATTATTTTTAAAAAGAATTTTTAAAAGTTTACTATGTGTTCCTCCTGATATTGACAAAGCAAACCTAAGAAAAATAGGGAACTATAGTCAAGAAGATACAAGCAAAAGTTAAAGAATTGGGAGACAGAAAAATAGTGGCAGTTGTCTTTGAAAGATATGAAAACAGCAAATCTCTATGTAGAGTTATTAAGAAAAAAAAACAAATACATACAAATAAAATAGATATATAAAGAAAATATTATAATTCCATTTAATTAAAAATTATAAATCTACAGATAATTTTCTAGGAAAATATTACTAAGTTTGCCTCATTAATTGGCAGAAAACCCGAGGGAGGGAGTTCTGCGTGGGGGTGGTGCCCAGCTCCGCCCACTCTCTGGCTGTGTGATCCTGGAAAGAGACAAGCCGGTGCTTGCTCACAACTGCAACTGATGCGAGGGTGATCCACCAACCTCGGCATTGCCGAGAGGGTCCGGTGAGATAATACTCTTGTAGGACAAGTGACAAACTGGGGAAAATGTTTACAATATATGATAGAACTCCTACTAATTGACAAGAACAAAATGAACACAAAACATTTAAAAATGCAAGGGGCAAAAACAATACAAATCCCAAAAGAAATACAAATGGCCAGTAATGTCCTTTGTCTATAATCTCTGAACTGAGCTGGGTGAGAAAAGGAAGAAAAAGTATCAACATTCAATATTTTTTAAAAAATTCTTACTGGAGAATATATTTATTGATTTTAGAGAGAGAGGAAGGGAAAGAAAGAGAGGGGGAGAAACATCCATGTGAGAAACACTGATGGGTTGCCTCTTGTAAGCACCCCAACTGGGGATTGAACCCATAACCTAGGTATGTGCCCTGACCAGGATCGAACCCACGACTATTTGGTGGGATGATGCTCAACCAACTGAGCCACCCAGCCAGGGCTTATCATTCATTATTGATTGGAATAAAATTTGCATAAGTTTCTTGAAGGGCAATTTAGAAATCTGTACCAAAAGCCTTAAAATATAATATCTTTTAATTTATAAAATAATGTCTTAGAAATTATGTTAAAGAAGTGTAAAGGATATAAACAAAAATTTAGCTTCAGTGATGTTTATATGGTCAAAAATTAGTGATAACCTAAATATTCATCAAAGGAAATATTAACTCCAATGTTACTATTCTTCTATTAAAAATCATGTTGCAGATTAGTATTTATTGACATAGAAAGCCACAAATTCCCGTAGAATGTTTGCAAAATGAGTAACAAACTGGGCGAGAGAAAGTCCCTCCATAAGACCTCAAAGCAAAAGCTGCATTCACAGTATTATCACAATGCAGTTAAAATTTATGTGACATAACTCTTGGGTAAAGAAGAAATAGAAACTGCAATTTAAAAACATCCATAAACTCCCTGGCCAGTGTAGCTCAGTGGATTGAGCACTGGCTGTGAACCAAAGGGTTGCTGGTTCAATTCCCAGTCAGGGCACATGCCTGGGTTGCAGGCCAGGTCCCCAGCAGGGGCCACATGAGAGGCAACCACACACTGATGTTTCTCTTAACTCTTTTTCTCTTTCCCTTCCCCTCTTTCTAAAAATAAATAAATAAAATCTTAAAAGAAAAAAAATCTATAAAATGAAAATAAGAGAATATTACATATCAAATATTATGGAATGACAGCCAAAGTTCTACCCAGAAATAAATTTATGCTGTTAGAAAAACTAGTAACATACCTAAAGAAAGCAAGAAGAATATATAAAGTTAAAAGCAGAAATTAATATAATTTAAAAGATCAATTTTAGAAGTGTATCAAATTCTGTTTCCTAAAAATATATTCAAAACCTCATACCAGTTGCTGAGGAATGTACAACAGTAAAACACTAATATCAAAGTAATGTTTAAAAAGAGGTACTTAGTTTAGATACACCTCCTTTCCCTGTAAGCACACACACACACACACACCCACAGCTTAGCAGTCTCAATATAGGACAGAACATCTAATGGTTAATGTTTTTGAAGTCATTTCAAAGAACCTAAGCAGTTACAAGAGATTAATAACGTGCTGTTCCTCAAATTTAGAAATATTTGCTTAAAACATGTCCATGGACTAGACAGAACAAATTTTATATATTTCTGCCAGATCATCCTGTTACTTTAATTGACAGTGATTCCAGGCCTTTTTTAATCGGAAATCTACTGAATAAAGGAAGATATGTTACCACAAGGATTTGCGGCTCAGTGACATGCTGGAGTTATCTGTGAAGTGGAAAACAGTGAGTCTGTGTTTCAGGTGTTTCCATACTAACCAGTTCCAGCAGAAAATGAGGACGTGGCAAAAGCATCACTTTGGGTTGGTTGAAAGCCTGGGATCAAACTCTCAGCTGAGCCTCCAAGCTTCTCAGGATGTTTGCCTGGAAGAACAAAACACCACTCAGCTCATTCCAGCAGAGTCCCAGGAGGAATTCCCAGGGAACTTTCTGAACTGACTGTTAGACCTGGCTCCTTTCTCACTGCATTATGATGACGCCTCAGTTGTTCAGAAGTCCTTGAGGAGTCACTGCAGTAACAGAGAAAAGCTGAGAAATGAAGGAGGTTTTCAGAATCAAAAGAGAGAGCACATCAGTTTCGTGAGAGGAAAAGAATTCTGAAGATTGGCTAAACCACAATGAACTGTACACTTAAAAATGGTGAAGATGGTAATTTCTGTGTTATGTGCATTTTACCAAGCTAAAAAATAAATAAATAACAGCAAAAGAGGTGGCTAAAGCAAAGCCCCAAAGCTGAAGCACATTACTCAGAGCAGAATGCCTCCAGCCCTCACTCAGCCCATTTATTGCTATATAATGAGTCTGATCATCTGTTTTCCATGTTGGAAGCAGTTTAGGAGAGCAAACAAGAAGAGGGAGTGGTGGCGGTGGCAGTACTAAGAGGCTGTGAGGGACAGGCCCAGTGACAGCCGCTTAATATGAGAACCAACAGCTGAACAACAAGAAAGGCAGGACATTATTAAAAATAAACACGAGGATTTTTAAAAATTTGGGCAGGTCACTTAACTGAGTACAAAAATACTACAGTTTTCAATAGCCTTAAAGGTATTTCTTTTATAGACTAGACAATAACTGGCACAGATAATAATGAATGATTCAGTGAGTCAAAGAAAATTAAATCCTATGCCTTATCTTCGGTTTGAAAAGTCAAGAAAGCAATACAAAATTTTAAAAGACACCAATAAAATAATAGTTAAAGCTAAAATGTTTGCCCAAAATTCTCTCAGTTCTGATCATTCCTTTAACCTGTATTCTTTTCTATAAAGATACTTTTTATTTCTTTATTTAAAAAGATTTTATTTACTAATTTTTACAGAGTGTGGGAGAAAGAAAGAGAGGCAGAGAAACATCAACGTGTGAGAGAAACATTGATGGGTTGCCTCTTGGCCTGCAGCCCAGGCAGGTGCCCTGACCAGGAATCAAACTGACGACCTTTGGCTCGCAGGCCAGCGCTCAATCCACTGAGCTACACCAGGCAGGGCTGAGATACTCTTTTTTTGAACTGTATCATATTGTAGAATTTTCCTGGAGTCTGTGTTATTTTTTTTCCAAAGTGTGTGTGTGTTTCCTGTCTTCCAAATTAGACTGAGTTTGTAGGTAGAAATGGCATCTTCTATTTATTTGATCTCCTCAATAGTAATATATTAAATAGAACTCTGAACATAGTCAAAGGTTCAGTTTCTGTGTGAGGAGGGTGCACTCTCATGGGTAAGCAGGTATAACTTTCTAGGACAAAAAACCCACTCAGGACAAGGGAACCATCCCACTCCTATAAGAAGTGACCAGGCTTGACTCTCATCCTGATCTATGCTACCCAATCTTTTCTAAAAGTTTCCCCTTTTCCTTGCTCCCACCTACAGCAGACCAAGATTTCCTGAGGATGAAGAGATCAGTGCTCTGGTAAAAATACAAACTGATCTACACTCATGCTTCAAAATCATGTTATAAGGTATAAAAATGTCAAATCACTATATTGCATACCTGAAACTAATATAGCCATTACAAGATTATATACCAACTATACTTGAATAAAAAATAAATAAATTGCCCTGCCTGGTGTGGCTCAGTAAATTGAGTGTGGACCTATAAACCAGAAGATCCCAGTTAGGGCACATGCCTGGGTTGCAGGCCAGGTCCCAGCAGGGGACGCACGAGAGGCAACCATACATTGATATTTCCCTCTCTCCTTCCCTTCCCCTTTAAAGATAGATAAATAAATAAAAATCTTTAAAATAAATAAATAAAGCCCTGGCTGGTGTGGCTCAGTGGATGGAGCACCGGCCTCCAAACCAAAGTGTCCCCAGTTCAGTTCCCAATCAGGGCACACACCTGGGTTGTGGGCCAGGTGCCCAGTATGGGGCACACAAGAGGCAACCACACATTGATGCTTCTCTCCCTTCCTTCCCCTCTGTCTAAAAATAAATAAATAAAATCTTTAAAAGATAAATAAATACATACATTTTTGAAAAATCAAATCTATGAGGGACCCATATTTTTATGTGGTTTTCCCATAAAAACCCTATATTTTCACCTGCATGCCCCTGTGGAGTTAAGGTTCACGGCTCACTAAGACTCCAATTACTCACCTTCCCCCAATTTGGCAAAGTCCTTGTTTAGCAGTTCTTCAGCTGTGAGTTTGGAGAAATTGTCATCATCAAAGGGATTCCACGTAGAACCTTCTGAAGGATTATAAACATTTTGCTGGGAGGTCCGAGGAGAGCCTGATGGAGTGGTGGTTGCCGACCTAGGTAGGTTCCCACCCCCGAGAAATAAAAAAAACATGTAAAAGTTGAAAAGGGTCAACCTATTTTATCTTTGTTTCAAGACAAATTCTCTTCTGAATCAAACCATTACTTTCCACAGTGGTTTTCTAAAAGGGCTTTCCGCAGCAACTGGGAAGTTTCCACAGACCCCCTTCCACTATGTAAAATAAATGTCTCCACTTCCATCACAATTCACTCTCTCCTGCTACTTCAATCTCTTGCTTAGATTTTTTTGGCCTTGTCTGCAAGTCCTTTCAATTCAAGATCCCAAAGCAACCTATTCTTAGGCTTGTGCATCTTGTGGTGCCCACTGTAACCCACAATAACAGATCCGGAAGGCTGGGACAGATGCCTGAGCAAGCTGCCTCCCGCCTGTCAGATCTAGCATGCACGGAACTATAAGAGCCACCATCAGTGGTGACCACAACGGCTAGAAAAATAAAGACAGTTACCACTATCTCATCCTTCTAAGTATCGTCACCTACTTTTATTCTAAGTCTCTCTTGATGCCTTTTGCAACTTAGCTAATGAGTTAAACATTTTTAACTTTAGAGTGCATAGTTCCAAGAAAGCTGAGGGCCTGAAATTTCATTTACTCCACAATCACTGACTGCAATTTACTTTTAGTTCAGGCACAGAGCCAGTCACTAGATTTACAAAGGTTGATTGAGACATAATCCTTGTCTTGGAGGAACTTTAAGGCTAGGTCAGCTAGACATACTCATAGAGACATACACGTAAATAATGATAATGCAATATGATACATGCACAACAGAATTATAAATGACACCAGAGTAAGGGTCAAAGAAAAGGTAACCTCTGGCATGGATCTAGATGAATAAATAAGCATGTCCTTGGTAGACAAGGAGGACAATGCAATTAATGGAGATGACATAGGAAGAAAAAAGCACTTGTAAAGCTGGAGAATGACAAGTCCACTGATGTCATCCAATAGGCTTTGGTCTGTTAGCCAATGAGTATGGAAATTATCCCACAGGCTATGGGGAGCCCGTGGAAGATTTTCAGCCTGAAAACTTGGTCAGATCAAGAATTTAGAAAGTACTCTGTGAAGCATGGAATAGATGAAAAAACTGAAACAGTGAGACAAGTAGGAAATTATTTCTTAAGATAGGATTATATCTTAAGATAGGCTTACGCATTATAGGAAAATTCAGTTTCTTATTAAACACAAAAGCACAAACACCAATTGCATATATTTCTACACAAATCTACATACATATGCAAAGAATCACAGAGCAACAGCCCACAACAGACTTTGCACAAAAAAAAAAGAAGAATAAAGGACAAGCATGACATACTTGGACTTATTGAGACTGGCCTCAGCTGCAGCTGCCTGGAGCAGCTGGGTTGATTTGCTGGCAGGGACCCCAAAGACTGCACTGTGGGTCACATCACTGAGAATCCGCCTGTGTCCAGCACGCTGGGTCTTGGGGGACGATGGAGGAGTGAGAGATCCAAGTTTTTGTCCTTGGACGGCAGGAGGTGGGGTTGTCTGAACTGTTGGCTGTTGTCTTACTGAGGCTTGAATCTGCTAGGAAGAGAGATGGAAAATGTTCTAAAACAAAGGCAAATGGAAAAACAAATAACAGATAAACATAAACAAAAATGCCACATGAGAGCTAAAGTAGAACTCAAATGGCTGAGTTTTTCAATAAAACCCAGAAAGAAAAAGCAAAAAACAAAAAACTAGGCCTTGACCACCTAAACTGTAAGTTTGGGACTGACACCAACATGGTATTTATCTGGTACTTATATGTACGAAGGGGGACTCCCAAAGAACTCTGGAATTTATTTGTAAAAAATGGTGCATTTATTATTCTTACATGTTTAAACTTCAGTCACCTTCAAAGTTTTCTCCATGTGATGCAATACACCTATCAAGGCTTTTTTTTCAGCTGCTCAAAACAGTTTCTGAACTTGCCAAATTGATGCCTTGTAGTGTTTCTTTTTTTGTTTCACCTCTTCCATGTGAGCAAAACTTTTTCCTTTGAGAATTTTTTTCATCCAGGGAAACAAAAAGAAAGTCGCTCTGGGTGAGATTGGGTAAATAGAGATGGCGGGCATCGGGGTCATGCTGTTTTTGGTCAAAAACTGCTAAACACTCAGTGCTTATATTAAGCACTTATTAATAACATGATAATAACATGGCCATAAATATCTATGGCATACAGCCATGTTCCTTTGCAAATTACTGCCTTAGGATGGCTGTAGTATATACTTTACATTCACTCACTTGCTTCTCTAGATAAGTGCTGTCAAGGGTCTTTGGAGAAAAAGATGGTCAGAGGTGGGAAGCTCTCTGGCCCCTGGCACAAGCATGTTCTGCTCCAGTTCCCTCTCCATCCTCTTAACCAACTACCACTCAGCAAAGTGTTCATGGCATTTTTCATCCAAAGAACATGGAGAAGGTTCATAATTCATCCCCAAGAGAATGGGTACTTTCGTCCAGGGATAGCAGAGAGAACTTCATAAGAAGTGTAGGTAGTGGCAGTCAATCATGTCATCCCCCTGGATGGACACCTGTTATTACTGTCATCCTGAACAAAGATCAGGACTCTTTGTTCTTGTCCCAGCTCTGCTGCTATCAGGTAACGACCTTCCAGGCTGACACTCAGTTTCCGGTTCCATAAAATGAGGGGACTCAGCTTATACGAATGACTCATTAACATGAACTAAAGCAGGGGATGTTGGTGGGAGGGGGTGCGCAGGGCAGAGGGGGAGAAAGGCCAGAAAATGGAACAACTGAAATAGCATAATCAATAAAATAAAATTTTCAAAAAGTGTTTAAAAAATAAAGTCAACAAAGGCAGATAAAAAATGAGGGGACTGGACTAAATAATTAAGATCTCAACTAGCTACATCATACAATCATTTTTAAGGACTCTTTTTCACTTAACAAGTGGAACTTCATCTCTTGTTAAAAACACAGACAGTAGCCCTACCTCGTGCCTGCTGGAAGACTGAGTTCTTTCAGAAACCAAGCTGTAAAGACACTGAACACACGCTTAGCTGAGACGGAAAGAAGACAAACTATGTATAGCACTGCTTTCTTTTTTTTTTTAAGCACTTCTTCTTTTTTTAAAGATTTTATTTATTTATTTTTAGAGGGGAAGGGAAGGAGAGGGGGAGAGGAATATCAATGTATGGTGGCCTCTCGTGAGTCCCCTGCCAGGAACTGGCCTGCAACCCAGGCATGTGCACTGACTGGGAATCGAACCTCGATCCTTTGGTTTGCAGGCCTGTGCTTAATCCACTGAGCTACACTAGCCAGGGCAGCACTGCTTCTTTTGAAGGAATGTAGGTTTTCTGGTTATGATCAGCAACAAAACTCTACTACAAATCAATCCTCAAACAGATGGTTTCCTACTTTTCCTTTGTTCGCCTAGTAGGTGGACTTCACTGGGAGTAAGACAGTAGCTGTGATACTCTATTGGGTGAGCACAGAAAATGTTTTTATCTATCACTATCACTCAGAAAGCTGTGAGACAGAGTGAAGGCCAAAGCAAAATATGCCCAAAGATGCTGAAATAGTTGAGGTCAGTTAGAAGAGAATGGAGGGATTCTGATGCTATACTCAGTCATTATCTAAAAGTGGATACACCCAATTTCTAAACTGACAAGATGGCTCAAACAATACCTGGATACTCTAGTGTCCAGTGGGATTAGGCCATAGCAAATGGTCCCAGGCAAGCAGGCCCTCAGGAAGGGTGCTGGATGGTATACTTAATTGAGGTGGCCAGTAATGTCACCCAAGACAAAGAGTAAATGCAACACTGTTAGAACTCAGGGTAAATGTGGGGTTTCACATGCATCTCCAAAGAAGAAAGGTCACAATGGTCAAACTGTGCCTTGAAGAAAGGAAAGGGATTAATTTTGATCCTACACTAGGTCCTTGACTGCTCAACACAAGAGACAATCAACAGCTCTTTCCATCACCCTAATTTCAAAGCAACAAATAAAAACATTCATCTTTATCAGTAGCCCAGAATCATTTTTTTAGAAGCCTCTACCATCTACAGAATACCTCATCCCATTCTTGGACATATCAAGAAAAGATAGAATATTTTAACCTGAGCCTAGCCCTAGTCCAGAGGCCACAACACCAGCTGCTTCTTACCACAGGCTCCTGGGCAGGGGTCGGCTGTGGGGCTGAGGCCGGCTGTGCCTGGGGCTGCTGTACTGCTGCCACCGTGGGCTTCTGCTGCAAGGTGGCCTGCTGAGTCAGCAGCTGCTGTGGATGCAGGGTTGTGACCATCGGCTGTTGCTGCTGTTGCTGCTGCTGCTGCTGCTGCTGGTAGAAGTTTTGTATCAGCTGCTGCTGAGAGCTTCCTTGGGACACCACAGGGAATGGGGCAACTGCTGGCTGCTGGGTTGTCGGGTGTACTGCCTGAAACTGAGCAGGAGGAAAGGGCAAGAAATGGGGAGGTGAATAAATAAAAGCCTGTCTCAAAATAATATTCTGAATGTCTCAGTAACAACTAAGACCAGTGCTGAGGCCAAAGACAAACTAAGGCAGAAATCTTTTAGCTTGGCCTGAAACTCATGAGGAGAACGAACCCAAGGGCATTAAGACAAATACAATGGCACCTCACACTGCCAGGCGCCATCCACTGCACTATGCCGCCCCTTGTAAAGGGCAGGCCTCCAGGTGGATTTCTGTGCCTGGCCTGAGGGTGTGCATCTTACTACACATCTGTGATGCCGTATGCTGGAGTGTAACAGAAGCTAATAAATGGTCTCCCAATCACAGAAGTAATTCCTTTTATAAAGGGATTTGGGCGGTAGCCAAGATTAAAATTCTTCCCTAGAAGAACAGGATGAAGTAATGACACTGAAAAAAAAAATAACCTAAATGTTAACCCAGCTATTAAAGTCATCTCTTTTTTGAAAATTATTTCTCAATAGCTCTATCTTTATTAACTCTCCATCTTTAAACATTCCAAGTATTCAGATTACTATACTTAATGACATTTTATTTTATATTGATAATGAATCGTGTCAAGTTATATTCTCTTGTAAACATCTGAGAAATAGCGAAACTTCTTTTATGTCTTTCTACCCCTCACTCAGGACTATGTGCTAGAGACACAAATAGAGCTCAAACAAGGGCCTACTGATGAACAAAACTCAAGATGTTGCCTTTGAACATCCTAAATAGTGTTACTTCGTTACAGAGCTAACTGAGGGGATGCTGTTTGCCCACTGGAACAAAGTTAAAGGGTTAGCAGAGAAGCAGATGTCAGTAAATAGCTACCTATTTGGGACTGGTAAACGCTGGAATCAACCAAACGTCTATATCTTCAGAAGGGAAAACTCTCTATTGTAAATAGGAATGATGACTACTTCTAGATACGGGATGGAGGGGATAGAATTTTCCAGATTTAACTTTGAAACTATACAAATATTTTACATGTTCACAAAACAAAATTAAACCAAAATTTAAGAAGTAATAACTAAAAATCAAAAGCAAAATAAACAAAGAAACCTGTAGGTCAAATTAATAGCCAAACTCCCCAGAAAATGTGCTAAACATTCTAAGAGCAAAAAGGGCAAAGAATTTTTTAACTAGTTTTGGTAATCCTACTAGTATCCAAGTACAGAATAGGATTTGGTAATCCTATAGTTCCAAGTACTGTTATCTTGAAACTATAAGTTAATTAAGTAATTAAGTTAATGTTATTAGGAATCAAGATTTCCAGATTAGAAAAATACAAATATAAAATCCAAGGAGTTAAACAAAAATCCTATAATTATACATGTGAATTTGGAATATAAATTTGAATTTATAGCATATATTCTATTAACAAAACAAAATATATTTGCTAACTACTGTCCACTGAAAAGGTCTAAAAATAATAACCTACCTATCAGCAAATGAGTATCCCTAGCACCAAGACTGTGGTCTCTAAATACCATTTCCATGAAAAGGAAACGAAGCTCCTTAGAGAAATGGCCGAATCCAGGTCCAGGGCAGAACGAGCCTAGAACAGCTTGTTACACTGAATAGCAAAGAAACCACGAACACCACTGGAGCTGCGACCAAGGACCCAGGAGCCAGTCTGAAGGCATTTTCTCTGGACAAAGCTGGGACGATTTGAGCAACAAAACAAATAATATTTTTGAAATTATAATATATGGAAACATATCAAATGTATTAAAATCTATGAGTTCATAGTGAAACTAAAACAAAAACTTCATTGTTCAGCTTTGGATGACACTAGGAATAAACTCGTTTTGAACCTGGTAAACAAAGAAAAAGACTCGTGCATTGTTCCCCTGCCTTTTCTGCACAAATATTACCTCAGGGTAATCCAACAGTTGATGAAAAAGTTCTTTGTAGGTAAATCCAGCCTCTAAATATAAAGGAGATGCTAGAATATTGCCATTTTGCCCATCCCTAAGGAATTAACGGACTTAGGAAATGAACGGCAATGACGGCTAAGTTGATGAGGTACATCAAATGGATGGAGCAGATGGACAACAACAAACCCATTGACTGATCATAACAGTATTAGATGAGAGGACAACCAGATTAGAGGCCCCTGATGTGATATAACCAGAGAAACAGAACAATCAAGAACAAACAAAGAATATTGAGCAAGCCTCAGGAAATTAGTAGTTTACATAAGGAACGGAGAAACATATTAAATGTCATTACAGGGATGTCATTAGCCAAATCTAGAATGTAGAAAATTCTATAGGACAAGTGACCCAGCTTTAAAAAAAAAAAAAACAAAAAAAGACAGAGGCAGGAGAAAGAGGAAGTGGGTAATTATGGTTAAAGGGAGACTTTAAAAAGATATTTTAATCATTATAAAATAAATATGTTCAAAATAAAAAAAGTGAAAATAATATGAAAAGATAATGAAAGAAAAAAAACCAGCTAAATACGATGGGTGGGCTTTGTTTGGATCCTGATTCAAACAAGCCACCTTACATTATGAGACATGAGAAAGCGTTAAAACTACTAGATATTTGGTTAGAAATCATTGTTATTTTTGTGTTGTGCTATAGTTATATCATGAAAAAAAGTCCTTAGAAATTAGTTCCCTTCATGAGGTTCCTCAGTCAGGTGAAAAATTCCCCATGGCTTGGGAAGAAAGGTGAAAGGGGTGAGTGATCCAGTGATCTCTCCACTATGCAGAGTCTTCTACTATTTACATTTGGGAGAAGCAGTGATGTGATCATTAACGGCTTTCCAGTCTCCCCAAGGCAGATTCCTGTACACAGCAGGCCTTTCACAGCGATGACTCAGATACGCAAATCAAAGGTCAGACTATGACCACCTTACCTGTTGAGCCTGGGCCTGCTGCTGCTGCTGCTGCTGGTAAAACGTGCCTGCTGGCTGCTGTGATGGTGGTGGCGGCTGCTGCTGCTGCTGCTGCTGCTGTTGCTGCTTGAGGAAGAGTTGCTGCTGGTGCTGGGGTGTTGCCTGGGCCTGAGTGGGCAGACCCTGGGCCTGAGTGGAAGGTGTCTGCTGTGAGGTGGGCGGAGCTGGTGGTTGCTTGGGCTGGGATTGTGGTAGAGGTTGGCTCGGTGGGGGCTGGGTTTTTGATTGGGAAACACTGGCTAAAAGACCAGGCTGATTGTTGGATCCTGCAATGAGAATAAACTCTATATAAGGACTCGAAACTCTTCCAAACAGAAACAAGTTCTCTTCTTCTCAAAGTAAGAAAGAGGAGGTGATAAGTGGACAAATAATCCCAAGGTCCATGTGCTCCTCACTGTCTGTACCTGGAAGGTTCTTCCTTCTTGCTAAACTATGTACTTCATATTTTTCAAAACAAGGTCCAGTAACAAAGTTCTATACTTGCCTCCATTAGAATGCCTTTCTTTATTCACCATCACATTTAGTCAATTACTCTTTTTAGTCAGCATCCTGAGTATCTACAAATTCAATTAGCCTTTGATGCTACCGCATAAAAACACAATCTTTACACTTGTTGGCATGCTGCAGAATAAAAGCTTTGATTTTTTTAAGTTTTATTTATTTTTAGAGAGAGAGCAAGGAAGGGAGAAAGTGAGGAAGAAATATCTATCAGTTGCTTCTCACAGGCCCCCAAATGAGGACCTGGCCTACAACCCAGGCATATGCCCTGACCAGGAATAGAATCAGTGACGTTTCAATTTGCAGGACAATGCTCAACCCACTGAGCCATGCTGGTCAGGGCTGATGTTTTACATGTAGATTACACAATCCCAGTCTGAATGCCTTGTAAGTAGAAGGCTACCAAATTCACCAAAAGCAGCTTATTGGTAAAGGAAGTGACGGCTGAGTTCAGTTACTTGATAATGTGGATCAATCCTGTGTGAAAGTAAACTCAGTCACCTCACTAGAAACAGAATATCAAAACAGAGTGGTGTGACAGATACTTCAAGAGAGATACTTCAAAGAATTCCTCTATGTCAAAAAGAGGTATATCTTGGTTCTTTAAAGGCAAAGAGAAGTAAATGAAACAAAGAGGTAGGTATGGGATGTATGGAGCAAGCTACAAAATGAGGGCAAAGACTGAAAAAAATAGAGACGACAGGTTTCCATGGTCTTGACGATCCCCTGCAGAATTCAATGACAGGCCTCCCCTTTTGCCAGCCTCCTGCCATACAATCTCAATGGCAGCTTACCTCTTGTTCCTCAAGGAAAACCATCATTCTTTACTTGCCTCTGCATTCCATTCCTGAAGCAAAATTGGACTTTCCAAGACTTCTCTACTATCCGGGACAACAAAGAGGTACACTAAGTTTCAAACCACCCTAGGAACTGACCTGCAGCCTGAGGCAGGGGCTGCACTGTGGCCCTCTTTCGAGGTGTCAGCGCTGGCTGGATGGGAAGGATTCCTGGGTTCGGCTGAGTCTGCCCAGCTTTAGGCCTTTGGCGGGGCGCAATGGAGGTTTCTGTGGTGGGAATGGGATCTGTCAGTCTAGAAAAGGAAAAGAAAAAAACAAAGATTCATGTTAAAGTGTGGGAAAATGGGGGAGGGGCAGCCAGAGTATATAATGAATTAGCTTTCCCCTTGACACTCATCCAAACCTTCCAGATCTGCTTAATTGACATTTCCCAGAAGGTGTTATGTGTTACTAGATGTTATAAATGAAGGTTTTAAAGGTAAATAAGTTTTAACATACTGATCAAAATATTGAGCAGATTTCTTCTCAGAACCTTTCATGTGTGAATATGTATAGAGAACCTCAAAGAAAGCACTGTACAGAATTCAGTGTTTCTCAAATATATTTGACCATGGGATCCTTTTACCTAACACTTCCTAGAATTTCCCAAAATACACTGTGGGTGATGATGCAAAGAGAGGTTTGAAGCAGGTGGTTTTCAGATGTAGAGGAACCCAAACTTGGTTAGAATTAGCTGTCAAAATGGTCTCCCTACTGTAAAAAGTATGCAAATAAATGAACACTTAAGGCAACTAAAAGGAATACATAAATATTCAAGATGAAGGGTTTGAGGAGTGTGATGGGAACTCCATTTCCTCCAATACACATACTGGTTTTTTCCACGGTAATACAATACTTAACTGGACACAGAATCACCCAGAGTAAAAATCAAAGTGCCCAGCCTCCCTTGTAATCAGGTGTGGCCATGTATCTAAGTTCTTGCCTTACAGGATTGTTATGTGGCAGTTTCTGGAAACCTTTAGAAATAACTGGTACATCCCTTTTGTCTCTCTTCTTATTTGGTCATTCCTTGATCTTGCTGCTTGGATTACGGATGCTGCCCTGTTGGTCCATATGGTCATGGCCACAGCCTGACAGGTGATAGAGTGGCCTGGGCACCCAAGGACTCTGTGGAGCAGAGCTGCCCCTACCAGCCCTGGACTACTTATCCCCAGACTTTGTTTATGTGAGAGAAAATAATAAATATCTATCTTCCACAGGCCACTGTAATTTTGGACTTTGTGTAACTCACAGCCAAATCTAACCCAAATTAGTAAGAGGAGGACTGCTGTGTGGTCTGCTTTCCTCCTGCGATGTGCTCCACCCCAGGTGGTGACTTCCATTCATGTGGAGCAGTCCAGGCAGCTGGCTACTACCCAACTCAGATTAGAGTGGTTGTCCTTTGAAAATGTACTTTCAGGAGTATAGCTGAGTTTAAGGCGAAAATAAACAAGCTTCATGAATATTTCCAAAATATGTCTGGCACAACCTCCATGAAATGCAAAACAGGAAGCAGAGTAGCTGGACCCACGTGCCTCCTTGTGCCATACCTCCATGATATTCCAGGTTGGCCCTGAGGCTTTTCATTAGCATCCTGCTAGACTGGCCATTTTCAACCTTTTTCATCCCATGGCACGCATAACTAACTACTAAAATTCTACACCCAAAAACATATTGTTTGCTGACTTGACAAAAAGGTATCATTTTGATTCATTCACATGAGACAGCTATTATTGTGTTGGCTATTGCCATTTTTTTTTAATTTGATAATATAACGGAGAAGGGGTCAGTGTCCCCAACTAAATACTCAGGTAGGGTGTGTTTTAAAAATTCTTGTGGCACACTGGTTGGAAGTCACTGCGCTAGAGGGAATTCTCATGCTGGGTGAAGAACTGAGAGTATAAAAGCCATCATCACATCTGGGGAGGCTATAACCTGGGGAAGGGAGGTGGGAAGGGAAATGAGACAGATGTTGAGAAAGGTGTAAAAAAGATAAAGGCAAGGGTGAGAAACATAAAAGATTTGAGTAGAAAGCCAAATGCTAAAAGCTTCCACACTGGCCTTCTTCCAAGGGTAACAACATCTTAGAGAAATTGGATTTGGAGTCAAAGAAAATTACATTTGAGTGCTAGCTCTCCACCTACAAACTGTGTAATAATAGGCATATCATTTAATCTCTTTTAGCCTTGGGTCCTCTATATGAAATAGGAGAAATCTATACATACCTACATCGTGAGGCAGATATGGATATCAAATGCATCACTGACTGTGAAACCATTCTATAAAATGCAGGATGCTCAAGCTATCAGTTTGTATGGGTCTTAATAAGATGCAAGAAAATACAGGCCATGAGGCCAGGAGATCTGACCCTAAGTTGTCCTCTCTGTGTGATCTTGGGCAATCCACTTAAGGTACAGGGTAGAAAGAGTGTGGATGCTGGAGGTCAGATTCTTTCACTAACTGCATAGTGACTAACTGCCTTGGGCAATTTATAATTCTGAGTCTGGTTCCTAATCTGTAAAATGAAAATAACCTCACAGGTTTGTTTTAAAGAGGGGAAAAAGACATCTTATTTATGTAAAGTACCTAGTATTGGATTTGATATATATGATGCCTCAATGAATAGTGGGTTACTTTAAAAAAAAAAAACAAAACACCTGTCAGGACTAGGGAGTGAATACAATAACGAAAATGAAATCACTAGAAAGTCAGATAGGACGACTTAGACCCAAATCTCTTGGCTGACATGTGTATGTATTTCCGCAGCAGTACTGAGGTCCACACAAACTGTCTGGGAACTCTAAAGTTTATAAAACAGTTTCTGTCATTTACGCATTTGACGTTCACCTCTGCCTTATGATGTTGGTACTATTTTATCCATTTTACAAGACAGAGTACCACTCAAATGTTAATCGTTATGATCATTTTCATAAACGTGTGTGCTTTGTGGGAAGAGCTCCTTGCTGAGCCTCAGCAATACCATGTTTGGGCCTAGTACAGATGGCCATAAGCCCCAAATAATTAATTATTAAATCAGCCTCAGAAGCTATTCCCAGAGGTGAGCATGGCAGACTTATACAAGAAATAAACAGACCACAAACTAACGGTATGGATATAGTTTGCTAAATTTGTTAAAAACCAAAGTCTCATTACTTTAGAGCCACATCAACAGACGTTCTATAAATATTCAAGAATTTTTTTCAATGTAGAAGTTATTTTACCATTCTATAAAAATTCATAGATTCTCATTCAGGGTATTTCGTTGGTAATTTGCTGCTAATATTTCCTTGCCATAGGAGTGTAGTAGAAAATAGAGGGGTATAGCCATCTCTGGGACTACCCTCAGAATCTGCCATTTGGAAGGCAGAGTAACCATGAGGATGTGTCCTGCAGACCTTCAAATGTAAGTGGCATAAAGGACCAAGTGAGTGCCAACGCTGCTGTGCTCCTGAAACCCGCTGCTTCTGCTTGCCCCTGAGGCCACGCTTTCCATAGGCTGCTCCCAGTCTTATTATCCCAGCCACAGGGATATGAAGGCAGGGACTACTCCTGGGACACAGCGGGCTCCTCTGGTAGCTGACTTTGATTAGAGGATTCCTTGGCACCCTTGGCAAACCTTCCTTAAACTGTGGCAATTTTTAGGTCATTTCCACCCAACTTTCTCCTCCTTATCTCTGGGTCTGAATTACATTGCCTTCTGATGGCTCACCTAACCTTCCCTGGCTCTCACCCTATTTTCTCCCTCGGGGGCATTTACTCAAACAAAATTCTAGTCTCTTTAGTTCTCCCTCAGCATCTGCTTCTTGGAAGATCCTAGGTCAGGGATGTCAAACTCATTTTCACTGGGGGCCACATCAGTCTCGAGGTTGCTTTCAAAGGATTGAATTTAATTTTTGGACTGTATAAATGTAACTACTCCCTAACTAGGGGCAAGGAGCCCTACATTTGGCCATTTGAAGGCAACTGCAAGGCTGATGTGACCCCCGGTAAAAATGAGTTTGACGCCCCTGTCCCAGGTAATACAGAATGTGAGTAGGTAAGGTCTACAGGCTCTTTGGCCATGTACACATGGATTCTGCTTTGACCTGTACTTTTTTAATGGGGCCAGGGCCACAGTGAGTTAAAAGGAAAGGGAGGTGGAGGATTAGGGTGCTGAAAGAGGCTAAACAAAGGCCAGGACACCTGTTTAGAACACTCTTGTACTAGCAATATTTCAAGTCTGTTGTTGCCTCCTCCCTTTATGCCCCTGAGCCTATTCCCAAGCAAGGGAAATAGCTGTGGAATTTTTTATTATCTTTTGAATATAGATCACTGTATTTCATTATATTCCTCCTTGCACCGTCAAAGGATAGCTTCTGTCCCAAGGTGACAGAGCTTGTTTTCTTGTGCTGTGAGCATCTTGGCCAGGACAAAAGAATCAAGAAATACAAGGCATCCTCCCATGCTGCTGAGACAACAGAGCACAACGGGTGCTCACTGAGGCATTTCTTACCTGGCCTTTGGCTGGGTCTTCTTTGCAGCTGCCTCACTGGCTTTCACTGGCTCAGGAAGCTTTGCAGGAATGGGAGAGTTCTATAGAATTTAAAGAAAAATTTTAAAAAGAGCACAATTTGGTTGATGGAAATATGTGTTGGGGTTCTTCTGGAGTAGGTTCCAGACCCTGATCTCTAGTAAAGAGAAAGGAAGTTAACCAAAAGCATGTCCCACTGGACTCAGCCCCAGTCAGGGAGGCAAAGCAGCTGAGAAGAGGACAGAGCAGCCGCATGCAGCGCATTCCTACACTGTCATTCTCAACCTTCTGTATGGCTGATGTTACGGGGGTTTCATCTCAGTACCCTTCCCTTCCTACAGCAGAGCTTAGAAGTGATGTTATGAAAGGAATGGAAAGAGATGTCTGTAACCTATATTACATTTAAGCCCTTGGCTAGATATTAGATAGGTTAGAGCTGAGTATTGCATCAAACCAGGGTGTGTTCAGTCTTCTAGTTAGAATGATGGAAGAGAACCACAGCCACAGTGTGTCTGGTCGCTGAGCCAGCGGCTCTTCCCAGCACACAGGCCCAGCAGAGCTCCTCCAGCTTGGATTCTCACCATCCCTCTAATACTGTCTCTTGAGGGATCACTAATTGCCCCTAACCACAAGACCACTGTCGACCTCTGCTGAGGGAGTATCAAATGACTTCAGACTTGTGAAGCTGACTTATTAAAAACTAGTTACCAATCTGAATGCTTCCAATTATATATATGTTATTAAACTTTATGAATAGGCACGAGGGATAGTCTCATGCTAATGGCATGTTAGGTTACTATACAATATCTCTCATTTATTCTGGAAAACACAATAAATGGAATACTAATAATGAAACCGGCTTTTAAAGGGATGTCCCATTTCCTTCACCTTTTCCAGGTGGGGGTAATTTCTAAAGAAAATGTCTCCTAGTTTCTCTTTCGCTTTCCAAGTGTTCCTCTCCCAAGAGAAAGGTGTAACTTATTTGACTGATAAGACTGGGAGGAAAAGGTGAGCTTGCCTGGCTCGCCCCCGGTCTCCCTCCTTTAGGGAAGAGCCCGTCTCTCAGGAACCAGGTGCTCACTGCTTGGTCACGAGGCTCTAACGTTAGGGAGACTGACTGGTCGAGCTGCATTCTCTGACACAATCTTTTTTTTTTCTGTGCAAGTGAAATTCTATCACAGATTCCAATTATGTTCAGAGAAAGCTAGTCCAGAATATTAGTGAGCACTTCCTGATTCTGTAAAAATTAAATTTATTGAGGTGGCTTGGTTAATAAGATCTTGTTGGTTCCAAGTGTACAATTCTATGATTTCTTTGTATAGTGTGTCCACCAAACAAAGTCAGATAATCTCCTGTCACCATATATTTGGCCCCTTTTACTACCCTCACCAACCCCTTCCATCTGACAACCATAATACTGTTGTCTGTGAGTTTCAGTTTTATATCCTGATAGGAGTCAAATCATATGGTTCTTAGCTTTTTCTGACTGACTTGTTTTGCTTAGCATAATATTCTCAAGGTTCATCCATGTTGTCACAAATGGCAGTATTTCATCTTTTCTTATGGCTGAGTGGTATTCCATTGTATATATGAGTTATATCTTTATCTAATCCTTTATCAAAGGACACTGTGGTTGTCTCCATGTCTTGGCCACTGTGACTAATGCTGCAATGAACAGAGGGGTGCATACATCTTTGAGAATACATGTTTTTGAGGTTTTTGGGGGTAGATACCCAGAAGATGGATTGCTGGGTCATATGGTAAGTCTACTGTTAATTTTTTTAGGAACCACCATACCATGTTCCCTAGAGGCTGTACCGTTTACATTCCCACCAGCACAGAACGAGGGCTCCTTTTTCTCCACAACCTCTCCAACACTTGTTATTGCCTGTCTGGTTGATAACAGCCATTCTAACAGGTGTGTGGTGGTACCTCATTGTAGTTTTGAGCTGCATTTCCCTAAAAGCCAGTGAAGTTGAGCATCTTTTCATATATGTTCACCATTTGTATGTCTTCTTGGGAGAAGTGTCTGTTCAGGTTCTCTGCCCACTTTTCAACTGGATTGTTTGTTTGGTGTTGACTTGTATGAATTCTTTATATATTTTGGATATTAACCCCTTGTTGGAGCTATTATTTGCAAATATCATCTCCTATCTAGTTTGTTGCCTTTTTGTTTTGTTGTCGGTTTCTTTTGCTGTACAGAAGCTTTTTAGTTTGATATAGCTCCATCCATTTATTTTTGCCTTTACTTCCCTTGCCTTTGGGGTCAAATTTATAAAATCTCTAATACCAAGGTCCATAAGTTTAGTATCTATGCTTTAGTCTATGTAATTTATTCTTTCAGATCTTACATTTAGGTCTCTGATCAAGTTTGAATTAATTTTTGTACACGGGGACAACCTACAGTCTAGTTTTATTCTTTTGCATGTGGCTTCCCAATTTTTCCAACACTATTTATTGAAGAGGCTTTATTTTTTCCACTCTGTGTTTTTGGCTCCTTTGTCAACGATTATTTGCCCATATACATGTGGTTTTATTTCTGGGATCTCAATTCTGTTCCATTGGTCTGTGTGTCTGACTTTCTGCCAGTACCATGCTGTTTTGATTATTATAGCTCTGCAGTATAATTTGACATCAGATAGAGCGACAGCTCCAGCTTTGTTCTTTTTTCTTAGGATTACTTTGGCTATTTGGGGTCTTTTGTGGTTCCATACATATCTGATGACTTTTGGTTCTATTTCTTTAAAAGATGAAATTAGAATTTTGATAGGGGTTATAGTAAATCTGTTTATCACTTTGGGTAATATGGCCATTTTAACTATATTGATTCTTTTAAACCAGAAACATGAAATATATTTCCATTTTGCTGTGCCTTTTTCAATCTCTTTTAATAATGCTTTCTAGTTTTCAGTACATATGTCCTTTACATCCTTTGTTAAGTCTATTTCTAAGTATTTTATTCTTTTGGTTGCAATTGCAAAAAGAATTGGAGGGGTTTTTTTTCATTTCTTTTTCTGAAATTTCATTGTTAGTATACAGGAAAGCAGTGGATTTTCGTACATTGATTTTGTATCTTGCAACTTTACTGATTTGTTTATTGTTTCTAACAGGTTTTTGGTGGAGTCTTTAAGATTTTCTACATACAGAATCACGTCATCTGCAAAAAGTGACACTTTTACTTTTTCATTGCCAATTTGGATGCCCTTTATCTCTTTCTCTTGTCTGATTGCTCTGGCTAGGAATTCCAGAACTATGTTGAATAAGAGTGGTGACAGTGGACATCATTGTTTCGTTCCTGACTTTAGAGGAAAAGCTTTCAGTTTCTCGCTACTAAGTATGACATTAGCTAAAGGTTTGTCATATATAGCCTTTATTATGTTAAGACAGTTTCCTTCTATACCCATTTAATTGAGTGTTTTAATCATAAATGGATGTCATCTGATTCAAATCTTATTAATAATAATGCCAATATTCTGAGCTCCATCTGAATGATTCCTACATCATTCCTACTTCTGAATGATTCCTAATCCAAATGTGGGAGTAAAAGTGGAATGTTATTTATCAGCACCAAAAATGACATCAGAACTTCATTACTGGAGAAGCAGATAAGAAAATTTCAGATTAGAACTTATTTATGATGCCATTCGTTACTAAAATATTCAAAAGAGTTAGATTAGGACACAAAAAATATGCCAAGACTGTAAAAAGGGTATTTGCAAGAAGTACATTCAAACTATGAGTGCAGAGTTTAGGACTACTAAGTGCATAAAACATTCCTATGGCCTGACGTGTGTGGGGAGAATGGAGGAAAGGATCGGGCGTCACAGATGGCCAACAGCAGAAGCAAAATCAAGGAAGCTCTGCTGCAATAAAGGAGTAAAGGGACAAGAGGCTTATGTTCCAACTGGTAGGTGGTCAAGTCCAGGGCCTTGCCTCAGGACAGCAGCCTGCCTAACCACCTCCAGGCAAATACAGTATGCACATGGCTCTTAGTGAACTGTAAAAATCAGAAAGACGATAGTTCACTCGATCTTCACCCAAAATGTTCAACTCAATCCCTGGGGCTTTTTTTTTTTTTAGTGTAATTGCCTCAGTTTTATAATTAAATTCTACTGGAAAATTGGATTGTTTATAACAATTGCTTCAAAGTTAGTTCTGCATGTGAACGAGCCCTACTAGATAAAGGAAGGCACATCTACATTCACTAAACACCTGACTGACACCCCAGGAATTCTAAATGACAATTCAATAATGTTGACTTCCCCTAAAAACTGAGTTTCACATACCTGTACGTTCGGAATTGGGCATTCTTTCTTGAGTAGTTTAAATGAGAAGTAGGAGACCTGGTAAATATCTGGCCTTTTGTCGGGGTCTGGTTCCAACATATACCCTGAAACAAACATATGTGAACGCATTTAATAATATCCTATCAGTACAGTATCTAGAAAGTGTAATTTCTCTACGACCAAAATTTGTTGTTTTTAATTTTTTCTCATAAAAGTCAGATAGTACAATTTGTCAATTTCCTCCCTTCTCAGAAAAGGAAGCTCTCACTTTCCTGAAATGTTTACTATCCACAAGAAAATAACAGTTTTTGAGTTCTTAACGAAGATACTTGAAATTCACACTCTGTGCTTTGCAACAGGGACTCAAAGTCTTAATATGAAAGTTACTACCTTCATGTTCAGGTACCTAGGAAGTTATATATGATCAATCTTGCTAAACAAATGATTGGTTTTTTAGATTTTTTATTTATTTATTTTTAGAGATACAGGAAGGGAGGGAGAAAGAGAGAGAGAAACATCAATGTGTGGTTGCCTCTCACGTGCCCCCAACTGAGGACCCAGCCCACAACCAGGCATGTACCCTGACTGGGAATCGAACTGGTGACCTTCTGGTTTGCAGGCTGGCACTCAATCCACTGAGTCACACCAGCCAGGGCACAAAAGATTATTCTTCATAGTTTCACCAAAATTCAAATTTTATGAATATATTATTATTTTATTAGAGATCTAAGCTAGTTTCAAGTCAAAAAGAACATGTTTCAAGTCACAAAATAACAAATACATCTCTACTTTTACTGAGATCTACAGATCGCTCGTCTGTTTCCAGCTGCCCTTTTTGAAACTGAAAAAATCCTCAGTTAAAAAAATCTTTAAAAACACACACAAACACATAAACAACAATGCAAGGCAACTTAATGTTTAAGAAATCAAATACATGTTTTAGACACTAAATTCAGAAAAAAACTAATGAGGCTGCAGTCTTGTGGAGGCTTTGCAGAAGAGGCAGGACTTGAGCTAGTCCTTGAAGGTAGGAAAGCACTTAGTCAGTCTGGGGAAAGTAGAGAAAAGGACCAGCTCCAGGTGAGAGAATAATCTGAACAATGACAGACTTGGAGAAAGGCAAAAGAATGCCTTGCTACAAGAAAACAGAGAAGCCAGACGGCCAGGGCACAGATTTCCTTGTCAGAAAGCACAGAGTAATAAGGCTGGGTAGGTAGGATGGCACCAGCTGATGAAGGATTTTAAATGCCATACTAAGCATTTGGGCCCTACTGTGGTCATGAAGTTTACTGCATAGGCACATGATAGGGAGGCATTTTACAAGATTAATCTTTTTTGAAAAAATTTTAGAAGATTTTATTTATTTATTTTTAGACAGAGGGGAAGGGTGGGAGAAAGAGGGAGAGAAACATCAGTGTGTGGTAGCCTTTCACGTGCCCCCTACCAGGGACCTGGCCCACAAGCCAGGCATGTGTCCTGACTGGGAATCAAACTAGCAATCCTTTGGTTCTCAGTCCAGTGCTAAATCCATTGAGCCACACAAGCCAGGGTACAAATTTATCTTGTGGTGAAGGTGTGTTGGACAGACTGAAGAGGGAGGGGACAGGCTATGGGCAATCTACTACCATAGGCATGATCTGACAGAGTCTACAGACACACTACAGTAACAGTGATGAGAATGGAGAGAATGTAATGAAAACAGGAAATGCCAAAGAAAGCATGCATGCTACTTAGGAAATATTGCTTCCTCTCTCTTCCTAGGCAAATCCAAAGAAAACCTTAAGTTTCAGTCATCTAGGCTTTAATGGTGATACCACTGATAGAAATTGAAAAGAGAGGGAAACCTTAAACTGGGAGTGAGAGGGGGTGGGGAGATGACAATAAATTTAATTTTAATTTTAGACCTCTGAGTTTAGGGTCTAAACTCTTCAAAGAGTTTGTAAACTGAAATATATAGATCAGAGTTTATAAAGTTGTCATGTTACAGACATTCGTAAAGGGCTGTTTTTCTTAATATGAATTTGCTGAACAAATGTTAACAAAAAAAAAATTTTATTAACCAAAACATCCAATCATTCTAGCATTACATTGGGCCATTTTCTCATATTTCCTTCCAATCTCATTTAAATAGCTGTAATTCTAGAATAGATATAACATTTTACCTCTGAAAACAATCCAATAACCATTAAATTCTACATTCCATTCCTTTAAATACCCTCCCTCACTTTTCTGTTAATAAATGGAGATTGATTGATTGATTGATTGATAAAAACTGGCATAATGAAATGGATAGTCACTTAAACACTATAACTATGTTTACTTGGGTAAGTTGCCTATACTTCCTCAGCTTGTTTTCTCATTTGCATAATGGGGATAATTGCATTTATTGCATAAGGTTTTAAGAATTAAATGAGGTACAAATAGGGCCTCAACAAATGTCAGATGCTTGCTCCACATTGGCTTCTACTTTCTCCAGAGCATCCCCACCCAGGACCTAAACTAGGTTGCTCAGGAATTATAATCCATATGGTTAAAATTTAGATGCTACATGTACTTGTCGACATAAAACAATAATAAAAATAATCTGTTTCTTTAGCACTTTAGAACAGGGGCTTATGCAAAGATTACTTGTTCTACCATCTGGTTAATGAACACAACTACATATGCTTACTATGACGATGCAAAAAAGTGGAGAATAAAAAAAAAACATTTAAAACAAGGCATTGAGTTTAAATACTTGTTATCAAAATCTAGTGATTAACCTAAAGGAGAGGAAAAACCTAGTTCCACGGAGTTATATAGTCTTAATTACGAATTCACACCAATGTACTGCAATTATTTTAATTTGAGTTGCTTCCAGTTTAGCAAAGACAAATTTCTTATCACTTGACATGAGTCAGCTGGACTCCTCTGGTAGCAGCACTTTCGCACAGATGGGAAGAGAACAGGGCAGAGCTACACTGCTCAAAGTGCAGTGACGGTTTCTGCTCAGGTGTCTGACTTAGGGGTAAAATAGGGTTTAGAATTCTAGCAAAAAAACCAAAACAACAACAACGACAATAAAAAACCCACTACTCTCACTAGATATTGCTATATTATATTTGAGTTGACATTATCAACTGACTTCTTTATCTTTGCATCCAACCCACCACTACCTTTATCCTCCAATTCATTCCTAGAGATGAGAGATAACAATATAAAACTAGAAACATGAAATACTTACTAATTAAGCAGTGCATGTCTTGGGAATATCGAGAGTTATCAGGAATTGTGAAGTTTCCATCACAAATTGCCACCTGACTCTCCCCAAATGGCAAAGTGAAATAGCATAATTTATACAATAAACATCCAAGAGCCTAAAAAAAAGAGAGAAAGTAGATTGCTACTAGAGCTTTATTTACCATAATTGCAAATGGGTCTCCTGAGTGATACTGGCACCATCTGCATTTACTAGCACATATAAAAACTATGTACTATTAATTTGTAAATAATTTTAATTTAGTACTCAACACCACTATTAAGCCGCTGAGTTACATTATTTCTACTCTCATTACCAAATTGAGCTCCAATAAAGAACAAGTATTTCAGCTCTTTTGCTCTTAAGAACTAGTAACACATATGTGACAACCACCTAAATAAAGGGCAGGTCACCTGAATAACTGTCACAGAGCTCTAAAGTAATTTTCTTGGCCAAGCTTCATGAAGCAGTGTTTAGTCATCTCAAGTTAAGAATAATGCCAAGGAATAAGTAGACACCAACATGGCGCAGTGGCCACTCCTACTATGGCACTGTCTGAATTAAATGGGCGATTATAGTCAAGACTGTCGACAGCGGAGGTATGCCTAGGTTAGTGAACACCTACCCAAATGTCTGCCTTCGTAGTGATGATTTTGCCACTGTACAGGTTGACCATTTCTGGTGCCCGATAGGACAGCGTTGTGTATCTACAATCAAGAGATTCATTTTTTGTTAAGTATGTCAGTGATATAATCAAAGACCAGAGGTAGCAGAATGCTTTAATATGTGTATGTGAGTTCCCTGGGAGCAGTCTGCAGAAGAAAGTATGAAACATCAGCGCAGATGAAATAAGAGCTGTCCTTGGCACACACAGTGGCCCTCTGGCCACAGTCCCAATCCAAGAGCCTGTGGGGACCCAGACATGATGGCATTCGATAAACTCTAAAAGCAACTTTTCTTGGGTCCTGAAATAACAAAATTTCCTCCTATAAATCCTTGTTGTTTGATACTATATTTTGCTTATATGTTTTTTAAAAAATAGTAATCCCTTTTAATGTGGCCTGACACAGAGACCTAATACTGGCTGGAATACTCTGGAGAACAGCAGAAAATGGGCCCTGATTGGGGGTGGGGGGGTAGGGACTGATCTTCGCTGCTGGATTAGGGCCGAAACAACAGTTTTCCTTTTATCTCTGGCTCAAGAAAAGAGGAATATGAGCTCATCTTTCCAGTGGGCCTCTTGGTGTTACCAAACATGTGACTTGTGCTGCTTGAGTCTCTAGAGGTCAGAGGGTACTTTAAGTGTCCATTAGGGCCTTGGACCAGAAGTTTTCCTGCCCCAGCCTTGGTTGCCAGGAGTGGTGCAGGAGAGAGGATCAGGACATGAGTGGGCATGCTAGACTACTGAGTCAGTAGTAGTTTTAATAGTGAGTGCTGTTGCCTATGAAAAATCCAACACTCTGAAGAACAGGGAAAATGGGTCAAATTCTTACGGGAGTCACATAACCAAAGAGGCCTTTCCTCATGAGAGTCAGTGCCTCTATCTATAGAGACCTCAATGGCCCTGTTCAGCCCTCCACTACTCCTTATTAGAAGGTGAGCTCCTTATTAGAAGGAAGGAACACACAACTTAGGATTCAGTAAAAGCACATTCAACTGACTAATAATGTCACGGCTGTTGTGATCCCACTTAAAAACATCACAATATTTCTATGGTGTGGGCACTATTCAGCTTTTTAAAGGCTTTGTGATATAAATCAAAATATCTGTGTACAATGACCATAGGCCTATTGATAAAGTGCTATATGAGTCCTTCATTTTACTCTACTGATCAATAGCTGTAAACCCCCTCCACATCCTCCACTTAAAATCAAACAACCAACTGCCAACACAATCTGAGAAGAGGGCAACTGACCAGCATCATTGTCTTCCCACCCCGACCTTCGTATCCACAGGCTGGAAGTTGCTGATCTCACAAAGGATAAAACTCTAAGAAAGGAGGAAAAACTTACTTCTTAATCTCATCTTCTACTGCATTAACTCCTTCAGTTTGTGGATTCTGGAATTTGTTGGTGGCACTTCCAAAGTCACACAAGACGTAGTGGCCCCGGTCATGCAAGAGGATATTTTCAACCTGAAAAACATTCCCCACCCATCCATCCCAGGATGTCATTTAATAATGTGTGTGAAATTTTGGTTCTCATTTACATAAATGAAATATTTCATTTCTGATAATCCCATTCATGTGCACAGGAAAGTTATTCTCCTCCAAGTATATCAACAGGACTCACCCCAAGTGGAACAAAACAAGACACACACCACCGGGGAACATGAGTGGAGGGGGCAAAAAGAGGCGACTCCACAACGAGGAGGCAAGAGTCTCTTTTTTCTGTTTCTGTTTCCAGCCACATTTCTCACCTCTGCAGGAAAAGTCCTCATACTGAAAACTTCCAAATTTGGGGGCCTTTTGTCATGTTTTTTTCAGTCTATAATGCTTTCTATGATCCCCACCTTTACTCAAACGATCCCAAACATACATACTCACTTTAAAAACTTAAAATAATTCCAACGAAGCAACACTAGCGTTTCCAATCTACTGGTTATAAAAATGACAGCTACCACTTACTGAACTTTTACTATTATGAGTGTTGGTGTACTCAGCACTTTACATGGATTATCTCACTCGACCCTCATAATAACAATATAATAATATCCCGTTTACAGATGGGAAAGTGAGACTCACAGTGGTAAAGCCACGAAGTGAACCTAAACCTCCAAAGGACAGGCGGAAAGCAGGTTAGAAGCAGAGCAATGACTCAAGACACCCATCCCTACCCCCCAGCCCTGGTACGGGAGAGGACTACACTCGCCCAATGTACTGGCCACCAGCCAAAGAATGGAACTATCTTAGTTCCTTAGGTTCAGAAATGCCCCTCTAATAGGAGTCTAGTCAATGAGGAACCAAGTGTACAAATACTGGTCAGGATGATTTACTCCATGTCTCCTAAGCATCCCTCATATTGCCTAGTTTGTCCTTTATTCAACTGCTCCCTCTGCTCAAGCCCTAACTCCTCAGTAAAATCTTCCATGGCCACCCTACAAAATCTACAGAACTTAATGTTACTAGGAGGGGTCTACTACAAAATAAGACCTTAACGCCAAACCAAGGCATTTCCTTTGCTCTATTCTGCAGCGGCTTTCAAGCTCCAATAGCAGAGCTGAGTTGTTGATACAGAGACTGTATGGCCCATGAGCTTAAAATTTTACTATCTGGTCCTTTGTAGAAAGTTTGCCAACCTTTGGTCTGGGTAATTATATTATATATGGTCCAGTATTTTATGCACATAGATACCTGTAGATACCTTATCATCATTCTGCAACAATCTTCCTTCCTGGCCTCATGTATCTTACAGAACTCATGTGAAACCATGCTTCTCCTACTGTATGTCTGCAGTTGCTTCCCAAATCAGTTTCTGTACTTCTAATGTATAGAAGGAATGTATAATCTAGAGAACTGAAAAGTTAATTCACATCGAAATGCAGGCAAGGTAGTTCTAGGGACCAAAATCACTATCGGGGGTGGGGACTGGAGAAGTACCAAGTAGACCAAGGACAGCATAAAGATAAGGCACATTGGGGTTTTTATTCCCCCTATCTCATAAACTTGGTTGGCGTTTCTGGTTACTGTAGAGCTGTAGCACTCAGGAGTTACACTATATCCAATCTGGTTCGCCTCAGCTTCCCTCTCTCCCGGGCACAGAGCTAGTATTGTATAAAACTATATTTACAGGAAAACCAGTTAAACATGAAGGGTGTGTACAAAAGTAGACAAGAGAGCCAGAAATATCCATGCAGAGAAAGCTTTACCAATATCAAAGAATATCAGCGCAGGTAAAAACAATAATCCCTGCTCTGTGACTCTGTAAGGAGAATCAAAAGAGATTAAGAAGGTGAAATCACTTGCAAGCAGTCTGACCCTGCGACTTGTGACACCTGTGAAAACCTCCTCTACCCTCCATCATCAGCAGCACTGGCACCACACAAACACTTAACACAGAGCACAGCGCTGGCAACCACACTGGACTTAGGGTTCAGAGGACATCAGGGTTTATTATAGATGCTTGACATTGGACATGTCTTTAAAGCTCTTTGAGCTTGTTTTCCATTTGCAAACTAAAGTTGATAATATTTATATCACTGTCGTTATGAAGCAAGTAAGAGAATGTACATGGATGCAAACTGTCCATCTCCCTATATAAACATAACTTGTTATTACCATTCATTTATTAAAGAAACACATTTGAATTTGTACTATATGTCAAGTACTTTTCTAGATTTTGGGGATAAGACTATGAAGAAATCAAAGTTTATCCTCTCATGGAGCTTAGTATCCAGTTGAGGATAAGAAGAAAATAATTGCACCATGGTGGTAAATGTTATTAAAAACTCCCAGCAGGTTAAATATATGTAAGGCGAAGAGGGCTGCTACTGTAACTAGCACAGTCACTCAGGTGAGGAACAGAGACCAAAATGAAGGAGGGGGCAGCCATGGACCACCTGAGGGGAGAGCATTCCAAGCAGAGTAGCCAACACGGAGGTGCTGAGATGGGAGCATGCTGAGATGTCCAAAGCAGAGAGGGAGACCACTATGGCAGAAACAACTCTGTCCTGGTCACTGGTACTGCAAAGAAAACTGGAAATGTGGGACTGGACATACCATGGGCTAGCACTCTTATGAAGGGGGAGATGAGAAGGCTGGGCCCTGGAGGAGTGAAGACCTTAGGTAAGTGAAACTGGTAACGGGAAGAAAGGCACAGAGGCAGGAGTGATAATAACGGTATCAGCAACTAAGAGCACTTACTACATGCGAGACGCTGCCCCACGCGCTTTGACCTGTAGTATTTCATGAAATTCTTAAAAAGCCTTTTTGTCCCCACTTAACAGATGAGAAAACAGAGTCAATTTACCTAATATATGTGAAGTCACAAGCCTGGAAGAGCAGGATTTTGGTTCAGGCTGCATCACCCACTGCAGTAATGTGCATTATGCAGTTAAGGAACACGGGCAGTTCAGAGTGGAGAAAGAGATGGGAGCAGAAGGGGAGGAGACTAGAGAAGCAGACGGAGGGCAAGCTGAGTAAGGCCACTAGGGAGCCACTCAGAATTTTTAACAGTCAGCAGCAGATGAGAAGTGTTTTAGGGAGGTGAGCATGGTGACAGAGGAGGGAGAAAAAGAAAGCAGACATGAGTGCAGGTGCAGTCATACAGGTGTGAGGCGAAGAAAGCCAGGTCTAGACTAGGGCCAAGGGAGTTTAATAAACAAGATTAGGAAGGAAAAGAACCAACAATATTGACACCACCTTCTGAAAGCTTCAGAGAATTTGCATAGTGACTTTGTTTTTGGCAAATGCTCCTTTTAGGATATAAGCCTAACATTGGTTTCCATTGCTTACAATCCTCAAGACGTTTGGCTCTCTGAGAGTTTAATACTGCTGACTACTTCCCAACTCCTTGGCTTAAGAGTGTTATTAAAGTTGTCACTCCCAAACTCTGCTTAGCTAAAAGGTCTGGAAAGCCACCTCCTACTGACCTCTACATCTTGACATTATTTCAAACAGATATGGCATTCAGGCATTTCAATCAGAATTTATTACCACTGGAAATTCTGGAGGATTAGATGAATGTAGGTTTTCAAATCTGTGATTCTAAAAATAGGACAAGAATCTTCAGCCTATTGTACTTATTGAGATCCAAATCTCTTTTCTGACAAAAGAGAAGACATTCATGACTTTTTCAATCTGAATGCACTTAAGTCTTAACTCTTTTCCCCTTTTCTTAAGTGCTGGGAAAGACACCACGGTACAATACAGCAAAACCAAACAAACAAAAACCAAAATGGGAGTAAAAAACCTCAGCCTTTGTTTCCTGGTTTGATCACTGAAAGGTTGTGCAGGTCACAACCTTTCTGGACAGAGGTCACCTGATTGTTCAAAGGAGAAGGCTGGCTAAGGTGAGCTTCCTGAGTCTATGACCCCATGATCTGTAAATAATAATCTCTGCCATTCCTTGGAGAAACAGAACTTTTTAAATGGGGGAAATAAAATGTTAATATATTTGAGGAAGGCTCTTCAATAAGGAACAGAACTACTGCTATGGTTATTCTTAGAATACAGGCTGCTAAAGGACCAGCATCAATGTCAGTGTATTTCCTATACGTAATTTGAAAGCACGACCAGGCAGAACAAGAGGCATTTTTCTCAGTTCTGCATGTGAACAGCAGACCCCACACAGGGCGGCATTGAGTCAGCACAAGGGCCCACAGCTGGCCTGGCCTGTGCTCTTTCCCGTGTCCCACTGACTTTCATTCATGATGGTGTCTCCTCACCAAATGGAAAGCCTGCTTACAGAGAAGCAACCAGATGACCAGCAACTAGCACTTTCTCTGGGCAGCAGGAGCATAAAGAACTTCTTGGCTCTGGCTGTCACTAGGACTGAAGTGGCTGGTTCCAGCAGTGAAGAAGAACTCAGAGTGGCCTACGCTATGTGATACAATGACACAGCCTGGACAAACAAGACACAACCAAGGCAAATGAGAGGTATATGGAGACTTCACTCATGCCTTAGAAAGCTGGTGGTGTGGCAGGCAAATGTGACTGCCTACCATGCACATACTAGTAGGAATCAACAAAATCGAACACACTAATGAAAGCATTCAGGTGGCACCAAGTGTAAGATTTGGGGAGCTATGGAAAGCTTCAATCAAAACAACCAGGAGTCAGTGACTAAAATCAACAGCAACAGGACTCCTCTAGAACAATCACAATGAGACCTCCTCCTAGGGCCCCTACTCACACTCCCTGTTTCCAGGGTAGAAAAGAAAGGGAAACGAAGCCCCCTGAAACACTGCTGGCCATCTGGCAGCATGCCTGCTGCTCTTCAATATCGATTAAAGCACAACTACAGAGCCCAACTCTGAGCTCCCAGTGCCACACTGCCTCTTAGGAACACTGAGGAGGGGGCGTGCCCGAGGGCTGGCTGGGAACCAAGTGTGGCAGCCTCTCACTCACATCAAGGCTTGACTCTCGGATTCCAGTTGGCTCCGCGTTCCTCTGCTGAGACCTCTTAGGGGCTCTTCAGTGCCATGAAGGAAGAACCTGGGCTCCTGCTGCCTGAGCCCAAGCACTGACCCATTCCATGTCCCCAGGCAAGACAATGGCTCTGTAACCTAGATTCCCAACACTGGGTGACACTTAGCTACCACCTCACACCAGCGCTGTGAACACCACAGGGCATTCGTATATGCTGGGAATATGTAAGCTGGGTAGGTATTATTTATGGGTATAAAATGATCATTTTGTCCTCATTTAATCCAATAAATGTTTAAAAAGTAAAGATAAAGGAAGATTTTGTTTCAGAACATGGGAACAGCACTCTCTAAGGCTGCTTGAGGACCCTCTCTGCTTCCTTCCCTTGCTCCCACCTCCGTGCCTGGACAGTGACATGTGCGCTCTCATTTAACCTTACTGCAACCCTAACAAAGCTGGCACTGTGGTTTCCACTTCACAGATGAGAAACTGAGGCTCACAAGCTGTGTTTAGAGGAGTAACCAGGGAGCGTGAAGAGGAGCCAGGTAAAGCATGCTCTCACAGAGGTCAAGTGAGGAGACAGTCACAAACAGGTCAAAGGCCACAGGGGGAGAATAGGACAGGGACTGAGAAGTGTCCTTTGCATCCAGCAATATGAAAGATGCTGTCATATTTGTCTATCACAGCACTTACAATTCCATCGGTACAAGTCACAGTGCTAGTGGTACAGAGTGAATTCTAATATGAAACTGAACCCCATCTGACATGGGGAGGGAATGGGGCTGCAGAGAGGCTGAGCTCATACAGGTCACAGAAAAAGTTTCCACACTCACAGACCAGTGCTGGTGCGGCCCAGCCATGCTTCTCCCCTACTCTTTGTTCTCCCCAAACTCTTTTCCAAGGCGGGCAGCAGGGACCAAGGTCAGCTCCTAAAATGTTGGTACCACTGCTTATTTCAGACTATATGCTAACAGGTCTAAGGATTTCACTCATCACTAAGGGCAGCACTTAAATAAAATGTCCATACATACTCAGAGCAGTGAGCACTCAAGCTTCTAGCTTGGTCTGCAACTTGCCATGTTCTGGGGTCTTAACTACCTCTCCTTGGTCAAATGCCTCATGGTTCCTTCCCTTCTCCAGACAGCCCTTGGGTGCTATACTGTGCCTGAAATGTCCTTCAACCTCTCTGTGACCACCCACATCCCACTAGTACTTTGAAATTCCACTTTTCTAGAAGATTCCAACCATCATTTCCCTGATCTCACTATCTGATCATATATATATATCACTTGATTTTTATTCTATTCATCATTTCTGTAAAGTTTTAAATTTCACCTATTTCCATTTCAGGTCTAAATGTTCTATTTATGTCCTCTCACCAATACTTAAAACATCTTGAGAGTAGGAACCGTATTATATCTGTACAGAATTATGTACTCATACTGTGCTAGACTCATAATATATTTACTGAGATGCATTCTCCTTTTTCTATTCAGCAAAAGGGCTGGCTGTGGGCAGAAGGACACTGGAGAAGGATTTCTAAGGCTGATGGACTTAAATATTAATACCCATCTTTCTGAAAGCTAACTGCTTTAGTACAGAAAAGCCAGTATGTATGTATCACTTCACACCCACTATAAATGGCTAGAATTAAAAAGGACAATAACAAGCAATGGTAAGGATGTGGAGAAATTAGAATCCTCATACATTGTTCATGGGATATAAACAGTGCAGCCACTTTGGAAAAGTTTGGCAACTTGTCAAAAAGTTCACCATAGTTACCACATGACGCAGAAAATCCATGCCTTGGTATACGCCCAATAGAACTAAAGACATATGCCTACATGAAAACTAGCACGTGGTTGTTCAGAGTAGCTTTATTCATAATAGCCAAAGTAGAAACTGTTCAACTGTCCATCAGCCGATGAACAGAAAAGCAAAGTGCGATATATTCACACAATGGAATATTCTGCCATGAAAAGGAAAGATGTACTGACACATGCTACCACACAGATAAACCTTGAAAACATTATTCTAGGTGAAAGCAATCAGACAAAAGAGGTCACAGGCTGCATGAGCCCATTTACATGAAAGGTCCAGAATGAGCAATAGAAAATCAGTCAGTGGCTGCCCAGGGTTAGAGAACCAGGGAATGAAAAGTGAGTGCGAACGGACGCAGGATTCCTTTGGGGGGCGATGAAATGCTCTGAGAGGAGATAGTGAGGACGGTTGCACAGCCGTGTAAATACTAAAAGCCACCAAACTGTACACTTCAAAAGAGTGAATTCTATAGTTTGTGAATTATGTATCAATTTTTTAAAAAGCTTTTGGAAGAGCCCAGACAAAAATGCCAGTATATTGCTGTGATTCTCAAACTTTAGAATATACGACAACCACTTGGGGCGCTTATTCAATTATGACTCCTGGGCCCCTCTTCAGCACCACCAAAATTGCAGCCCGACAGATTCAGGGTGGAGCCCAGCAGCCCACGTTCAGCAAGCACACTGGGGGGTGCCCATGCAAGTTATTGGCCGTGAAGCACATTTCTCAGAACACAGGTATGACACAAACAGGCTACAGTTTAGAGTCAGAAGAGCAAGAGTCACATTCTGGTACTGCTCCTTCCCAGTTACATGACCTTGGGCAAGTCACATAACTTCTCTGTTCCTGAGTTTCCTCAACTATAAAGTGTAAAAAAAAAAGTCTCTCTCCAAAGAGACAGTGTACTAGAGTGTCTAATAGAGTGCACGGCACACAGCTGGTGCTCCATAAATGCTAATGAATCTTAACTGGGTGCCATGTGCATTTAACAAACATTGTCAAGAGACTACGATATGAAAGGCCCAGTGCAAGGGGTTGGTAATTGGTAGGAGAAATATTAAAAGTAACCCATTAGCAGATTTTGCAAAATAGAAAACAGACTTTAAAGACTATAGTTTATCAACTCTTGAAACTAGGTATTACTTTTCATGACCCTGGGGAAAGTGAATTTGGAAGTGTATCAGGAAAAACAAAAACGGTATGTGTTCAGGCATTTGATGATTAGGAAGAATTTCTGAAAACTACTTAAGTAATAAAACTGATACTTGTACCATACTATTACATCTTTTCTTCCTTTGTACTTTCTCTTCCCACGTAGAACGCAAGCTGAGAATTTGGGGCCATGCTTTAAACTCTCTCACACCCCCCTAGTATCTGCCCCAGTCCTGGGACAGAGAAAATACTCTTTAAGAACAAATAATGACACAGTGTGGTCTGTTACCTTCAGGTCACGGTGAATAATAGGAGTTTTGCACTGATGGAGGCGGGCAACAGCTTCACAGGTGTCACAAAATATCTGGAGCACTTCGTTCTCTGTAAAGCCCGTTTGCAGGCGCTGGTTCATCAGGTTGACCACCTGGCCCCCTAAGGGGTGGGGGGCAGAGCAAAGGAGAGAGGTTATAAACATTCAGATACATCTCTTCCCCAAGGGAATGAGTGGTTCTCCACAAAGCAGCAACGTGGACAAAGGTAACAGAGCTGATCACTGGTTGAGCCAGGACTAAAACCCAGCTGTCGTGATTCCCAGTCTGGGATTTGTTCTCTTACAACCCAGTGCTTCCTCTGTGTCAAAAACAGTTTCCAGTGCTTCTTAAAGCACACAGACAAGAGCTGCCCTCATTATGTCTTCAAGATTAGTACTACAACTGACAGTGTGGCCCTGCTCTAGTTGCCCAGTTATATTGCCCCCTCTGTGTCTGAGACAAGGCCACAGGTCCAACTTGCTATATCTTTTAGTAAGAATCCAACTGCACAGTAGACCTTAGGAGAAGGAAGAAGACAGCTTTATAGTCTGTACTTTAGGAATAGCCTGGTTTCCCTGGATTCACCACATGCTGCCAGATCTGTAGAAATGCTATACTAACACTTAACCTCCAAGACCAAAAGACCTAATGGCTTCATTTACAAAATTAGCCAGATACCCAGATATTCCTACTGCCTCATCTCTAAAACATTTTACTGCCCAAAAAGGAATGGGCAGAAGGAAACAAACTGTCAGGTTCAAATTTAATAGTATTTAAAAAATCAGATAACAGGTTTTATAGTAAAGGCTGAAATTATTGGTTAACACTAACATTTGGGGGATTAGCATCACGGTTAGTTTATGCACAGTATCTTAAGGCAAGGAAAATGTTACTGGGAGTAGGGTGACTACAAAATAGTGAGACAATGACCCAAGCTTGTAAGTGGCAGCTGCTTAGGCCAAAAAAGCTCAAATCTTCAAACAATGGTTATATGAAATGCAGTCAACTCTGAATAAATCCATGCTACATGGATTTCTCAAGGTAACTATTGCTTGAAACTCTAGGCTTTCAACTACTTAACTCCACTGTTAAGAGCAGCATGGTTTGAATGCAGCCTTACAGGCAATTACAGCTCTTGAGCAAGGGGAGGACGGTCACTTCCATTAGATAAAAAGGATTCTTTCACCCCATTACAGGGATGACGGTGTGGGTGGAGAACAGAACACATGAGTGAGGGGGTAGGGAAGCTGAAATGTCTTCTTAGTTCATCTGGGATTGGGTCTTTATTATGAGCCTCCATTATTTATTTTAAAGCATCACAATACATTCATTCTCATTCTGATACATTCTCTTTCACACACAATCACTGAACCTTCCTAAATCCAGTAAAAATGGACTTTTGTATCCTGTAGTCCTTTGAACTACTTGTGTCACTGATCCTTGCCATTATCAGAATAACCAAGAAGTGACAGCAAACTCTGTATCTTTTAGCCTCTTTGTTTTCTAGTCTTTAAAACCAGAACAATATATATTAGGGTACAGTGCAATAACTGAAACAACCACCATGCTTTTGACAATAAAAGTGCTAGTGAAATGAGAGCTTAAAGTATGGTCCATATACTCACCCCTACAGAAGTCCATCAGAATGAGCACTTCCCATACATCACCACTACTCACATTGTTGATACTAGAATCAATGTAACCCACAATGTTCTTGTGTCCCGACAAGTCCCTCTGTAAAGGAGAGTTGAATATTGTCAGTTACACAGACACAATGAGCCAGTCGGTTTCATTAGCACAGATCATTTAAATACACAGAGACTAAGGAGCAGGGTCAAGAGCAGACTTCCAGTGGTCTCTAAGATTCATGGCCAGATCTTCAATAGCAATTCTGAAACCCTACCAAACCATAGCACTCACCTGAACTAAATTCTAGAACCAAAGGGACACAGGGTGACTACTTGCTCACTGCATTAGTAATCCATGCAAAGCAGAAGCAAACACATCTCCAGAAACATGGCAGAGGGGCTAAGAGGAGAGAAAAAGTATGAACTATTTAAACATGTGAAAGTCAAAGTGACGTTTTCTTCCTGGTTAGAGGGACACACATGAATTCAACTTGACTTTGAAACTGCTCATACTGTTTTTCTCCCTTTAGGAACTACATGAAAAGAAAAACTGCTTTACAAAGTTTTGAAGGGACTACAATGGCATTTTGCTTGTAATTAAGCCCTTCAATCCATCCAGCTGAGATACAGAGAAGAAGATGGGTCGTGTTTCAGCCTCTCTGGTTGGAACAGCATATGATCTCTCAGGGCTGTGTGGGGAATTAATTGTGTTAGGACCCCATGAGGTACTAGAAGTGGCCGCTCACCCTGGTACTGTTATTGCCATAGAGGCAATCTGTGTAATGATGATGTTCAAACTCCAAAGTCATTAGTGAACAAAAAGTGAGCTAGCTGGGTAGTAGGATTTTTGTCAAGTACATTATTAAGTAGTTTTAATATTTTACTTTGGTTTAATAAAATGGGGCAGGGAGAATATGGAAAACAGTGTCCTATAAGAATCACTACAGGGAACTTATCCACATGGCAGCGGTTAATATAGCTCAGCCCCTGATTCAGAAAACCAGTGGGAGCGAGTCAGCACACAGGACCCAGACCCCTCGGGTCAGCTGTCCTGTGGGAATCAGGCCTGCACTGTACCTAGGCTGCTTTGAGGCTTGCTTTTTGCTAAAACTCCCTCACCCTGGATTGAGGCAGCAAATTTTTACTGCATATCTTTAAAGTAACTTCCTAAAGTCTGTGCTAAACCTCCCAGTATGGAGTGTAACCAGTTCAACCACTCTTCCCCTTTCGTCTGCAACATCCTTTTCTATGAAGTAATCAGCAGCACTCTCTCCTTTGTTATCTGTAAAAGGTAATCACCTAAAGTGAACCTGTGCATAGTAAATGAGGACCATCCTCAACGTGATGCACCCAGAAAAGAAAAGCCTGTTCAGGCAGGGTTTGGGGTGCTCTCTCACTCAAGAGAGTGGCCATGCTGTCCCTTTTTCTCCACAGGACTTCTGCAGTTTGTGTGAATTTGTTCATCGCAGCCACAACTCACAGACCCCGCTGGCTGGAGTCTGCATCACACAAATTTGGCAGTTTGGACCACAGAACAGTAACTATCACCATACTAACTAGAGATTTCGCTGTTTATAGTAATAAAGTCTCTTTTGATCTGAAATCACATACCAAAACAAGATGAAGCCTCATAATATCAAATGAACACAACTGAACCCTGAGTATCAAAGTTAGAACTCATTAGAATGTTCCTCTGAGTGAAAGAATAAGAATGACTATTGCCTCAGAAGGGTAGACCAAAGGTAGAAATATGACCTATGCAAGAACAGCTTCAGAGACAGAATGGAGAGGAGATGAGAATGGAACTGGACTTGCACAGAACAGGAACTGAATATGCAGGGTCAGTGACTATGGGTTACTCTTTCAGAACATTTTGTGCTTAAGAGAGAAGCAGTAGCAAGGAAAATAATTTTTAGGATGGGAAAGAATTGAGCAATGGAGAGTGGAAGGAGCAGAAGAAGGCATTAAGGTTGCAATAATTGATGGAACCAAGTCCATAGGTAGAAGAAGTAGGGATTCAGAGCACTGCTACAGGGGCTGGTTTTAGAACAGGGGCTGGTTTTAGAAAGACATTTCTTTCCTGGAAAGCAGGAAGAAATAAAAATGGATATGCATATTGGTTTAAAGCTAGGAAAAAAGAGAATATGAGTGAGTTCAGATCTACAGTTCTGTTTTAGTAGAAAGCAAAATCATCTCCAAGTATAAGGGAATGAGAAAGAAACTTGATGAGAGAAAAGTCTTAAAACAACTGCTTTGGGTATAACAGACAAGAGAGATAATGAGGCAGAAAAGCAGTCTCTAGAGTTCAAGTGACTTTAGGACTCATGTTTTGCAGAACTATTATTCCACCTGCTTTTCAGTATTATTATCAACTCTTCTAGAACTTGTTTCCATTTACACACTCCTGGAAACAGGGAGAACTGGAGAGAAGTTTTTGGAAACCAAAATGGGGCAGAAGACCATGTCCTCCAAATGTCCACAAGGAGGAATGTAAGGCTAATATTCCTACACTTAACTCTTTGAAAAAGAATTGGCAATGTTGCTTGTGACTTTGTATCACCCCAAGAGGAATAATAAAGAATCTACAAGGAAAATAAAAACCATTTGGTAGAGCCAAGAGGAAGTTAAGTGCTATTAGAGGACCCAAACTAGATAAGTGACATCTGCAAATGGCACCCTAGAGCAGTTTGCCAAGCTGTTTGCTGATGAGTTCAAGCCCAAATTCCTGTTCACTTTGTCTCTGCAGAGATCCTGGGAAATATCCACCAGAAAAGACCACCTCTTTGGAGGAAGACCGTAACTTTTAATGACTTGATGCAGCAATATCGCAGATTTTAGAGTAAAACATCACTGGTTTATAAATGATGGAGACATATCTGTTTGAATGGTTGTAAAATGTATAAAAGGTCAAGAGAAAACCTTACAGCAAATTGAAACTGGCATCAGTTCTCAGCAGCTGCAGGTCAGAGGATGATCCAGCTTTCCCTAGCTTTAGATAAAAAAGATCAGGCCCAAGCTTACCGAACAGACTGGATGTACAGGTAAAGGATAGAACCCACAAGGGGTCGGTGGGGGACACCTCTCAGTTACCACCTGTTTACTCAGGAAAAGGCAGGATGTCAGAAAGATGCTTTGATGCCCTTTGCTACAATTAGTATTTGGAGTATTGGGGAAAAAGTCTGTATAGTGAATGTAAGTCAAAAATCTGAGTTTTAGGGGTGTGGGGAATGTTCAGTTAAACTATAGATCAGATCAGTTCATATTACTTGATTTAAACAGTGGTAAACTTAAACAGATTGTGTTGTCATTTCAAACTTTATTTTTAAATTAACATTAAACAAGGTTAACAAAGTGCTAGTAAGCATGTTATTAGAAGACGTACTTTATTAAATAGATATCTAAAGTGCTTTATAGTTTAGCTTATTAACTTTCATGTTTAACTGCTTGAAGCACTGAAAATATTTTTTTACAAGCACACAAAGAAGCCAGCATTTGAAAATCAGCCCTTCAACCCACATCCTATAGATTACTACAAATTTCAAGTTTATTTGAGATCTGAATCAATGATACCTGTAGTATTCTATCCCTAGGCTCAAGATTCCAGCAGCAGAATTCCTATTTAGGCATCTTAAGACCTTATAAGAAAACAGAAGTCTCGATTTCAAAATACATGTCAAAAAACCTTTACATTTATGTTCAAGAAAACAAAGAACATTTTAATATGCATATCAATAATATCATTCACCTCAAAATAATAAAAATGAGTATTACATATAACAATTTCCCTATATATCAATTTGCTCAAGCAACCTTCCTTGCAATGTCAGCATGATGCCTGCAAATTCCTGATTCTCACAGAGCTCATGTTTATTTCCATATAGTAAGTTTCCAAAGAGGAATATTAAGCCCCTTTGACACTCCATTCAAATATTCAATGTTTTTTGATTTTATGAGTCAACATTATTGCTGCCCACTTCTAGAATCACCCCATGGTTATACAGACCTTTTTAACCAAATTTCAGCTTCATCTTAATTTAACAGATGAAGGGAAGGAGTTCAAAGGCCTGCAATTAGTTTCATATTCCCAAAGTTGCTTTGTAAAAAAGTCTTCTGCCTCACTATTCCTTCCCCCTTTTTTCTCTGTAACTCTAAATTTCCTTTATAATTCTCTTTAAGGAGTTATTCACAGCCAAATAAAAGCTATCAAGTCTGTGTAGTGGTAAAAAGAAACTCTCTGATACCTATGCAGGTCCTAGAGTTCTACTGAAGGCCAAGGTATCCAGGGCCCTTGTAGGTTTCTGCTGGGTAAGAAGTACCAGATAGCGCATTTTGCCATGTATAATGTGCACCCACGTTTTTGTGTGCATTATACATGGGATTGTTGTGCCCATGTTATATAATCATCATACCCATATATAAAGCACATCCTTATTTTCCCCTCAAAGATTTGAGCAAAAAGTGCGCATTATAAACAGCAAAATACAGTATCCTCCTGCCTACACTCAAATGTACTCTCCCTTTCCCAAGTCTTGCTCATGAATTAATCCTGTACTTAGTGAACAGATCTTTAAAGTCATTGCGAGTCTAATTTAAGCGGTACAATCTAACTTTCACATGCACATGAATCAGCTAGTGATTCTGTTTAAAAAACAGATTCTAATCCAGTGGTTCCGGGACTGGGCCCGGGATGCTCCTGGTCAGTGACACTGTGATAGTGGCAGAGGAGGCCAGGTGGAGTCAAGACTTTCACCACTGCCGAGCCATGACAAGGCGAATTCCCAAACTCATGGTGTCAGTGAAGGCCACGTGAAGAGCAACAGCCAGGTCCTCCTACTCTCCCACCAGGAAACATCAGTGGAAGCCTCCTGGGGAACTGGAACTTCTGCCCCAGTCTAACAGCAATGAGGAACAGCCCTGGGTGTCAACAGAGGACCAGTGGGAAACCTGAACCATTGAGTAGTGACGAGGAACAACCCCTTAGCCCCCAGCAATCTCCTGCCAGAGCAGAAACCAGTTAAAACAGAAATTTGTCAAACTAAGAACTAGGAAGATCTCAAACTAAATGGAAAAAAAAATCAATAGATGCCAATACTGAGATGACAGAAA